ACTCTTTATTACCTTCAAAACGGTCCAAAAAGGAGTTTTGTGAGACAAGAGCTTCAAGTCGTACCCGAGGACACGCAATTACCGCCTAATTAATATCTAGATTACGGTGACCATAAGCGAGCGTGTGTATTCCATCCGGTAAAATGTACCTCTTGGTATCCAACGGACTCAACGACAATTTATCTAGCGATATGGTGTAAAGGATGTGATTTTCCGACCTAATGTGAGTCATCGTTTCTGTTTTAGATTTATTTTTAAAGATGCAGTCGTAGTAGTGCCGGTGTTTTAATTTTTTGTCAGTGACCGATTTTGTGACCCCCTTGGTTTTTTTAAGAGTGATGTTGTTGTCATCTGCTTAAATCGAGTACATCTTAGGTCTTATACAAACGGCTTCTTGAATGACCTTACCTCCAAACTCGTCTTTAAATTTACCGATCACTTTCTTATTGGTTGGATCGTATAACTCGTGATCCAGATTGTAATTTGAAAAGTCGTAGTGTTGCCCGTGAGATTGCATGTCTTTGTATATGTCATCCGTGTAAACGGCAACCAACAGACTGTCCGTATCCGTATACATCAACCTGATTTGATCTCCGTACTTGTCTTTCAATCGGTTGTAATAAAAATCATACATCAGCGTCTTAGATAGATCTAAGATACTCACTCCGCAGTAAATGGGTTTGTTTAACAAGGTTTTAGTCTTGTACGTTTCGACAAACGACAGGTCACATTCTGGAAACGGCGTTGTTGTTTTATAGCTCGGTTTCTGTATAATTTTTTTGTATTTTTCTTGATCGCTCTCGTTATTGTCTCTCAGTAGATAACCGTCTATTCGATTTCTAACGTTTTCCATCGTCTTACCAAACACGCTGTTATTCATCAGTTTAAAAAAGTCTTTCTCAAAATCAGAGGTCGCTTTTGTTCGGAGTTGTGTGTTTTTATCGATGTAAGATTTCATCCAAGGCGCTTGTTTAAATTTTAACACGCGATGTACCTTTTTTAGTTTCAAGCCGAGTTTGAGATACATCTGCAACGTGACGTAGTGCAACACGTATTTTTGTTTTGGATTAAGCGTACACGTTAATTTTTGTACGTCGCTACTAGGTTCGGTATCCAATAACTCGTTTTGATAATCAGACATCCAATCTTGGGGTATGACCATATTTTCGGGCGCTAGTGGATAATCGTTATGCTTGGCGTGTAGATCGTGCGGGTAATCGAGGTCTACTTCAAAAAAGTAACCGGTGTTGGACGTTTTCTTAAGCGTTAATATTCTTTCTTCGGTAAACGGTTTCGAGGGTGTCCATTTAAAATCGCTGTACGGTAGATATTGACTCATAGCCCAACCGTACAGATTGTTGGCATCCAGATAAGCGATATAACTAGAGGGCTTGTTTGAATCGTAGTCATCAAGATATTGATTATTGGCTTTGTGATGTCTCATTCCACCCACGCTAGATATGCCTCCTCGTTTTGCTTTTTCAAAAAATAAATGTTTGTCTACGTCTTGCAACAGTTCGAGTTTAACTTCCGAGTGTTTTAATAGAGCATCCCAGGACAATCCGGGTGCGGTGTAATAATTGGCTGGATCTAGCCCGTAGTTTGTAATGCACGTTCTTCTGAAGTTTTCAAATACACCTGCAAGTAATAACGTATCGGTAGTCACGTACAAGTCGTGATATTCTCCTAGATTTTGTATATTAAACTCGTTCCACACGCGTTGAGCTCTGTCATAGTCTTGTTGCGATATATGTTCGTCTTTTAGTCTGCTGTAAAACTTGCCGATGGGTGGTAGGCTGGTCTCTTGAAACTTATCAAACGAGTTCATATATTCGTACGGATAAACTCCTTTTTGTAATAGCAAGTCAGGATGTTTAAAATGCTTTTTGAGTAGCTGAAACGACTCTTTTGGACAAGCTTTCACTAATTTATCCAACGATGATGCCATAAAACTAAACGAGTCTAAAAATCGTAGATTTCCTATCGAAAACGATATATACTTTTCTGAATTTTTAGCGATCACTTCTATTTCTGTTTGGCTATCGTATTCTGAAATACTCTGCATGATCAAGTGAGCGTCGTAATTTTGTAAATTGTGAAAAAAGACTGGTATCGGTGTACAACCGGGTTTAATTTGTAGTTTGAGGTTACAATAAGCGTGTGCGGCACCCCTATATTTACCAGTGACGTGGCAGTGATCTCTCACCTTTCTAAATTTGTTGATTCTCTTTTTACAGTCGAGACATTTAGACTCGGTAAATCCCTTACTATTTTTGTACTGATATTCTTTCTTTTGTTTTATCGTCTTGGGTTCTCTGGGCTTCTGACACTGACAGTTGCTCGAGTAATTGGGATAAATTGGTTTTTCACAAATCCAACACGTGTTTGTTTTATCGTGATGTTCTTTAGCTCGCTCGTTAAATTTCATGGTTTGGGGTTTTTCAAATAGACAATTAATATCGCTTTGTAATTGTAACAACGTCGTTATAAATCTAGTTGAAGCGTCTTTGCCTCTATAAGTCTCTTGATACACATTTTTACCGTCGCATCGGACGACAACTAGCGAATAACCGCTAGCTTTGTGAACGTTAATCTTTTTTGTGTTTGTCTCTTTGTCTGAGTGAGTAGGTTTAGATGTCAGTGTCTGTTTGGGTGTTGTTGTTGTTGTTTGTAGTATGGATTCAAAGTCAGCATAAATGACAAATGGTGCTTTTTGTTTGTGCCTATAGTTTTTAAATTCTAATATCGGTACGTCTCTTTCGCCTGGTTGCCCGTCTATGTATTTTGGTTTACCCATAGGAAATACAATCTTTGATGGATGTGCATCTATACCCTTACAATCGGCGATATGTCCGTCTAATTTGTTTTGATTGGTAAAATGACATAGACATCTTCGACAAAAATATTTCTTACATTTATGTTTTGTAACGTCGTACATCAACCTCGTAAATATTTTATCCAACAATAGTGATGCTTGTCACCTTTAGAAATCAAAAGCAGATCGATCTCTTTTGCCCCGTAGTTTTTAGACACGTATAATGGATATATCTCATCCTCATAACCATATACGTTTATCGATAAATTATTTTGTCTTTCTATCTTGGGTATCTGATCGACCGGTGACGGAAAGTCAACGCCTTTAAAACTGAGTCCGTCGTCTTTGGTGTATACAACGGGTTCTTCTTTATGAATTTTATATTTAGGATTATTTCTTATTTGATTTTTTACTTTATCCGTATACAACTCAAGAGCAGCTCTCAAACACCATCTCAAACACTCGTCGTCTTTGTTTTTGATGTTTATCATCGCCTGTTTAATTTTAAGATGTTCGGGTAGGTTTATGTAAGAACTACCTCTCGCTGGATTATATCTGTTGATGTTGATGTATAACGCCATTATCTTTTTTAAAACCCAACCCGATCCTTGATTCGTATACCTTTCATCCTTTCTAAATATCTGGCGATCTCTTCTTTTAAAGCCTGTTTTATTTGACTTTGATTTAAAACGGCTTTCGGCTTGCTATAATGAATAGCTTCGATCGTTTCGATCGTACCATCCGGTTTGGTTTTTTCGTATTTTATTTTGATTGTGAGCTCCATTTTTAAACCTCTCAGCTCTCTCAATTCTGACTTGATTTTATTGACTATTTGTTCCTTGTGCGAATCAAAAAACTTGATCAAATCATGGTTATAAAGTCTGGGGTTTAATTCCCAGTTTCTGTAGTAATTTCTAAACCTTCTCGTTTCTCTAAAAGCTGACTCTGTAAAGTATTCGGGTTGTCTGTATGTTTTAATCGCCGAGATTAAATCCTTTTTCAAAACTCGTCCTTTATAACCCGTCGGTACGTATTCTAGATTTTGTTCGTCTACAATCTGTTTGAGCTCATAAAGTTTCTTTTTCCTCAAGTTTTTAAATTTACTTTCATAATGTTTTATCCCCTCGATGTATACTTAACGAGTAAGAGAAACATTTTCATTGTGCGGTATATTATACCGCTGTACGTAATCACGCAGCGTGGCTTTGTTCCATTTAGAATATCCTTTGACGGTCGGTCTGAACATATTACTCTCCATTTTATTATAGGAAATATAATATTTTTTTCTCATTTTTTTTTGGAAGACAGACTTTGGATTTATAAGCAATCAGACTCACACATTTTTCAAGGTCGCGTTGTTTACGCCAAATTTTTATCGTGCCTCAACACGTTTCAAGGTCACGTGGTGGTGACTCACACATTTTTCAAGGTCACGTGGTGGTGACATCACCTCATTTTAGCGACGACAGATTTTTTTTTTTTTTTTTTTCTCTCTCTCTCTCCCGGCGTCAGGATTTTTTTTTTTTTTTTTCTCTCCCGGCGTCAGATTTTTTTTTTTTTTTTCTCTCTCTCTCTCCCGGCGTCAGGATTTTTTTTTTTTTTTTTTTTGGAGATCGGGGGGATTCCCCTATTTTTTCAAAACCGAGAGCGGCGTGCCCAGGCTCGCCGCAGATTTTTTCGATTTTGGTCCCGTACCCCCGCCCCCCTTACTACTTGTTGCGCTTCTAGGAGGAACGTATGGTGGCTTTAAAGGGACATCGCACATATAAATTGACGCCAATATTCACGACATGGCCTCTCGCAGATATTGACGCCAAGTTGACGCCAATATTCACGACATGGTCTCCAAATCGCAAATATTGATGCTTGGCAAATATGCTTGGCAAGTTTTATCATGGAGGAATTCCTCCATGATGGTTTTATAAATGTGACCGGGGCGATCGATCTCAGCATAATTATCTAGACTCCAACCGGTCGTCAATGGGAATCATTGGATATCATGGATCAGCTAGTTCGATGTTGTGTTTTTTCATAAGAAAATTTCAATGGCGTCATTATATCACTCAGTCATGCATGCATTTCAAAGAATGGCTCAGTGAGTTTTGAGACTCACCAGGTACTGTTTTCGGCCTAAGCCTATCCTGCAATGATTATAATCTGGTTTCAATCTGGTCTCATTTTGCAGTTATGACTGGTGGTGCCACCAATATTTCCAGCGACGAGGCGTTCCTGTGGCGGACTACATCCCGATTTTCGGTAGCTCATACAAGTTTTCAGAGGTAAGATCGTATCAGAATTGTCATCAAACAGGGTTCGAAATTAGCGGTAGCGGGGTCGGGTAAAGTTATGTTTTGCCACGGTAACAGACTGACACTTTTGCAACCTGCGTTTTCCAAAAAGCTGAGTGTTCAGTGGAATAAGAGCTGAACTTGGCAAATAAAAAGTAATGCTACAATAAATATTTTATTAAGCTAGGTCCTGCCTGTTTATGAATGGTGGTTGTTTATCTAAATCAGTGCCGAATAAAATGTTTACAGATTTTGCTTTTTTAACCAATAGTTGCATTGTTTTGTAGCGCCCTTGTATAATTGCTTTTTACATGTACTTTCTCGCACTAACGTATTGGTCATTTCGTAGGGGGGGGGGCATTTTATGTACATAAGACCGTCTATACTAATTCGAACAAACCTGTTATAGCTCCATGCTTGCATGGTCGCGCACGTATAGCACGCATATATGTTTACAACCGTGAGCCATATTGAACTTTTTCTCGACTGACCTTTTCTCGCCCGCTGATTGGTTAATTAGTAAAGCGCTGATGCTTGATCACGTACCGGGAGACGCGTATATGTTTACAACCGTCGGGCGAGCCATCCTCCTCTCGATCGCTGATTTTGGTTCCTTAAGGTGAGCCTACAGAGAAAATAAAGAAAAAATAAACCGCTGATACGAAATGGCCAAGACGTTAGTGCGAGTTGGCCTGCTGGTCTAATTGTTTTGCCATTAGAGGGCGTACTATCGATCACTATATAGTGTTAGGCCAAGACTAATAAATGGCTAGGGCAATGCTTTCGCCATTGAAGGGGGCCATGGTGATATAATTGATAGCGTGCCCGATTGGCGTAAAAGGGCAAGGGTGCCGCAGATTGGCTGATTTTATGTATTAACTGTTTGAATAATGTGCTTTCTTAAAACTCTTGTGCAGGGATTTCACCTTGCAATGGAAGATTTCGTGAAGGAAAAAGGGAAAGTAGTAGGGTAAGGAAAACTAGTAACGATAATGTAAACATACAGCAAAATAAGTCTTTCAATGGTAGGTTTGGCCTAATCTGATCAGATTCGAACCAGCCAACCAATTCCATAAGTTTGATGGTCGAGAGGTAAGACGTCTGCACTAGAAAGCATGCAGGAAGTCATGGGTTCGAGTCCCACCCAAGTGATTTTTTTTCCAACTTTCACTTTGGAGGTAACACACAGTGTTTACACGTCGGTGAGGGGCAAAACTAATATTGATTTACATCACCCCGACCAAAAACTCCATGTTTATGAATAAAATAAGTATTTTCTTTCCCTTTTCTCATTGTTTTTCTACACAAACAATGACATACGATATAATGACTTTGTTTTGCACTATGGTAACAGTAATCAGTTTCGCTTGTGGTCTTGGCTTGTTTTGGACCTCCGGTGTGCTAATGTTCCCAACGTGTGCTTAAAAGGCATGTGGTGATCTTGCTTTTAAAAGCCAGGGTATGCCTATATTAGTTTTCAAACCAGTATTTCGTTGTTAATATTTTACACAGTGATAATTATAATTTTTTCCTGCTGGTGGTGATGGGCCTTTATCGGGTAATAAACACCCCATACAAGTGGATTAAATCTTGAGATAAGAGAGAGCTGATGCAAACACCCCAAATTAAAGCTCTAGGTTTATACTCAGGTTTTGTTTTGTGTTAAAAAAGAGAGAGATTTATCCAAAACACCGTGTTTTTTGTTTAACTCTGTAGGATGTACGAATTCCGACGCCCCATTCTACTCATCAACGATCCAGATGTCATCAAGAAAGTCCTGGTCAAGAATTTCAACCATTTTTGCAACCGCAGGGTGAGGCAATGTGGTTGAAGTGAGACGGTGGGCGCTAGAATTCCGGGGGGGGGGGTATTCTGCCTTTAGTCGGTCGTACTAGCTACAATGTGGTACCCCGCGGCCTGACCAAAGGCATAATACAAAAAAGAGAGTTCTAGTGCTCGAGTTACTGGGTCTAGGTGAATTTGAATTCAAAATTTGGTACTGAGTTCGGCCTTCTCCTTATAACGTCTCACTTCTTTGTAAATTATACAGACATTTTGCAATAGTGCGCCACCAATTGTTTTAAAACCCACGTACAAAAAAGGGCATCCGTATTATCTTGAGGTCTCGAGCGCCACCTTTATTGTCCCTGAAGCGATCTCAGCAGAGCTTGTATTGGTTGGAGTCATGACGATGAATTTAATAGAGTATTGTTTTTCTAAACTTAACTGAAGATTCTGGCTATACATGCAGGCGAATCTTAGGTCTTGTAGGCGTCAAAATCACGTGACCAAAACAAGCGTGTGCACAAAAAAACAATCCATATAGCCGTTCGATGAACATGTACATGTATATCAAAACCGTAAAACGGAACAATCCTTATGTTTGAAAAATACTCGGACGGACCTATTTACTTGCTTGCCTCCGTGGTGAATACAATGGAGTCGAGCATGGGACTCCGGATCGAGCTGGGCAGGGACGAGGTTGACTAAGGATCGCTTCGCTTTGTTACTCTAATACACAGAGACATATATCGTTATTTTCGTTTCACTATCCATATCTTGGCAGGTGTTTCCCCTCCTCATACCCCCATTGACCAGAGGCTTGAGTATGCTCGCCAACGAGGAATGGAAAGATGTTCGTAACATCCTGTCGCCAACGTTCAGTGCTGTAAAGATGAAAAAGGTATCTATCCGTTCTGTTTACAAGTATCCCCTCACCGGCAAAGACAGTACAGTTGGGGTGACCGACCGACGCCATCTGGGGCCCAGTTCGGGCAAGGACCATTAGTCGACTAGTGGTTGGTTTGTGACGTACCTTACGCCTGCGCACTAATAGCAAAGTGCGAACGTCTCTGGTCGAACGCTGGTCAAAATGTCATTGCAAAACGTCTGGATCCTGGCTCCCTGCTGTACGTTATGAACGCGCGCGGCTATGGTTACCAGCGATGCAACCAGCCCCAGTAGGTTGGTTCCAAATAGTCGACTAGAGTAGTCAACCATCGTCGACTAGACAGAGTTCGGGCAAGCAATAGTCGACCAATGGTTAACTATAGTCCTTGCGCGAACTTGCTCTTGCCTGACTGCAATTTTGCCGCGACGCGCGGCCGTACCACCATGTACCACTGCGTGTACATAATTTTTATATACAAATCCCCTGGTGTACTTGCGTCACACACAAGGAACGGTGCGCGTCAACCAACTAAATGTCCCGCCCATGGGACGTCGTTGCTAGGTAAAAGGGCGCCCTCTTGTTGGCGCACGGAGCCCATAGGCGCTCTTCTTGAGTGAACGATCGAGGCGCTCTAGCCACGTAATTTTCTGGGCAGAAATGGGGTCAACGTCGTCTTCGTCTCCGCCAAACTGTATTATATAGTTTTCCCAGTTATTTTAAGACATATCAATAACTTGAGACAGTCTCCTGACCATGACTAGAGTAGGCTAGTGGAAACGTTGAGCCCAAACTTAACTCACTCAGCCTCAGTGAAGATAATTGCGAGAAGTCCCAACGCCTTCCAACCTACTTAGCGAAAATAGATGGATAGACACGTTCTTTTTAGAACTAACCAGAACTGTTCTTATCAGAACTAAATCTACTAAGCCACAGTAGTTATTACTACGTGGTGTTACCGCAAACCTAAACTTTAAGGTGTCATTCTGTAATGACAATAATACAAAAAGTGTGTCTATATAAACATCAGTTGCAGTGCGGAATTTTTTTTCAGGTGCGTTTTTGTATGTTAAGATATAATTTGTGTGTCTTTTGTTTTAAGATGTCTGTTTTGATCAATGAGTGTTGCGAAAGACTGGTGTCTGGCTTCGACAGGGCACAGGAGGGTGGGACCCCCGTGGAATGCAGGGAGTAAGTTCCGCTCACTACTACTCACTACCACCGCCTTAGACACATTCAGCAACTTCGGCTCAATATACCGAGCCATTAAGAATCAGCATTTGCCTCCTGTTTATTGGTTTGTTTCATCAAAATAGATTCAACTTATGTATGCTATTTAGTTATAAATGGGAATAAGAACAATTTAAAAGATTTTTTTGCCTTTAAGCTTTACTTTTGACATAATATTGTGTATATTTTGATTAGATTGTTTGGAGGCTACACCTTGGACGTGATTGCCCGATGTGGATTCGGTCTGCAAGTGAATGTACAAGACAAAGACGATCCCTTCGTGAATAATGCGAAGAAGGTATTTGACTTCGGCAACGCAAATCCGGGTGTGGCTCTTGCGAGTAAGTAACACTAAGCAGGAAGATTATGCCGTCCGTAAATCGTCCTTATGACGACACAGAACAGTCCAGCTGTGCCTGAGCTACGACTGTCGAGAACAAATTATAGTCGCCGATATTTCGCGACCTCAGTGTTACTGTGACGATTATTAAGACGATCGGCGCTAAGGGAAAACAAATCAGTGAACAGCCACAACAGCAGAAAAAAAAACAAATTCTGCGGCGTGTTCGCGACAGGCGCGGGAATCAATCGCAGTCGACCTGTGTGACGCCATATGCACATCAGGATCATTATTTCATTGTGTAGCCAATCAGCGTTCGGCACAAATTGTTGAATGAACAGATGTGTAGTGTAGATAGCCGACTATCTAGTACTTGTGTTGTCACAAGGTCGACTTGAGGGCAGCTTCAATTTAATGCGTATATATATATTTTTGCAGCATATCGTATTGAACCAATCACATCACGCACCCTAACATGAATATTTATCACGCAGTGTTGATGGAAGATACTGTAGATTCTCGTAGTGTTTCCCCTTCAATTACACTTATCCCAACCAACAAAAGTATTTGATGAAAATGGGCATGGGTTTGAACCACAGATCTTGGGATCCATAGTTCATTCCACTATCCACTATGTGTGGCAGCTTGACGAAAGCCGTTCTTTGAAATGATTTAGTGTACATGCACAATGATTGAGAGCAATGGTGTGACGTCATTGTTATTTTCTTATGAATATACATCAAACTAACCATATAATTATTATCCATTGACGATGTTTGCTGCAGTAAAAAAAACAACGCGCGCGGCTTAAATTACACGCTAAAAGTCCCGGGACAGAATTGACCCGGAAAAGGGTCATGTGGGGCCTGACCCTTTTCCGGGTCAAAAATGACACTTTTTTTTGGTCAAAATTACACTGTATGGCTCATTCTCCGGGTCATTTTGACCCGGAAAAAGGGTCGTTTTGACTCGGAAAAGGGTCAGGCCCCGCCTGACCCTTTTCCGGGTCAAATCTGAACCTGGATTTTTTGGAGTGTTAGTGTAGGCACGAATACAATATTGTATTGGATTAATGAGCTAGATCTGGCACATTGTGAAGACCAGATGCATGCACACAAAAAACCACCAAAATCATCAAATCATCCATGTTCATTATGCAGTGCTGCAAATGAATGGGGAATCCCCTCACATAAGTCGTTATCTGGATCAAGGTCTATCATGAGCTTGATGTCCGAGCAAATAAAAGTTCCTTAACTGGTGTCTTAAAAAAAACATGTTAATGCCTCAGCATTTTGAATAGAAAAAGTGAACACGAGTTCAAAACCTCAGTGAAAACCTTGTTTTTATTCTGGTCATTCTTATGCAGTGGTATTCCCACCCCTGGTACCGCTCTTGAAATGGATGAATGTCACCATTGTCGATCAGTCAGCCATAGATTATCTCAAGGAGGTTGCGGAAGAAGCTCTCAAGATGCGGAAAGAGGGAGAAGGCACATCTAAGGTGCGACAAACATATGCAGAGCAAACAAATTAAGGAGTAGATTAAAAAAATGTTTAAAGCGCACTTACATTTTATTCCTGCATTTGTAAAAAAAAAGAAAAAAAAAAGGGGGGGAGCCCGGGGGAGGGGGGGGGGGGGGGTTGAGCCTATTATGACTATTCAAAAGAATGGGGATGGTATTATTTTTCTGGCCACTCGTGGTACATCTAGATAGGATTCAAACTTGCGAGGGAAGGAGGGGGGTCGCTTTACCTTATTGTACGCTTGAGGGTGCCATTCATTGCAAAATGAATATTTTTACATAACCAGTTACGCTAAATTTCAATTTAAACACTGGCTTGGATCATACAACTGGCTCGAATGTTTTTGGGATTGTGTTGTGTCTTAGTAATGTACACGTAAATGAACGAACGAAGAGAATGAAACAAGAACGGAAACAATTAGCTTCGAACGCTGGCCGACAGCAGGAACGGATCCAGGAATTTTCACAGGAGGGGGGTTTCATCAGCCAAAAATTCTAACAAATTGACTGAAGATGGTATTTTTATTCGCCGAGGGGGCCTTGTCCGTCCACCTGTCAGTGTTCTTATACATGAGCTTATGGGGTACCACGAACAAAGGGTAACAATGTGGACAGTACCCCGCAAGTCGGTCTTTATTAGAAGTCTCGGTACCCCAGGTGTGACGCGATATGTAGTTTCAGATTTCAATAGAAACAAAGGAGAACAACAGTAGGCAAGTAGAGTTGGACAATAACTATATCCACATTATGCGGTTGTGTGTATGGACATGTCTCGCCAGCTCTCCTTCGATCGTCTGGCTGGTTCGTCTGGTGGTGTCCTGCCGCCATGACGTGTCCTATCCCTGCAGTGGTACAATGGTGGGCCACAGCACCAGGCTATCCCCTCTTCTCGATGGACAGGACCAGTTACACTGGTGGAAGTAGGGCCAGCGGAACACCCTAGGGAGTTGGAGTGGGAATGGGGAAATGGAATCGAAATGTGGAGTTGAAATAAGGGTGGAGTCGGAATGTGGGTGGAGTCAGAATGTGGGTGGAGTCGGAAGGTGGGTGGAGCAACTTAAGGGTGGGCCAACGTCGGTGACGCAACTTATTTCCCTTTGGACTTTGTCCTGGAATCCTTAATCTTAAGTAGATCTGACCTAGAACATAGACTAATATAATTGGTGAACGGAAACAGTCAATCAAGAACAGTGGTCGTGCCTTCAATCATTCATCATCTGTCATGTCATGCCATCCTAATCAAGAGCCTCTGCAATTATCACTGGAGAATCAAGCAATCAACTGCCTAAATCCTAGCCCTGAAACGCCTTTTATACACTAAATTTGAGCGTCCATAGGCTACAGTTGTAACTACAGCTTCTCTTTTCCATACAACGGTGCATGCATAAACCAAATTGACCAATCAAATACTGGAATTCCCCATGCGCAAAGTGTGGGTGACTCACATGGTCTTTGGCATTTAAAACGTACATTTTCTGGCTATATAATTTCGTTGTTTTCTGACTTCAACTTGGATAGAACATTGATCTGCTGCAGTTGATGCTTAATGCCCACAATGACACCGAGCTTGACCAGGGAGATGTGGACTCGGTGGTGAAGAGCAAGGGGAAAGGTACCAGGCAACACAAGCCACTGTCTAACGAGGACGTCCAGGCTCAGGTAAACACACCCATGTTTACGTTTCATACCAAGTGTGGACATTCCCTTGGTTTCGTGTAGTTAAGAAAAACCTCTGAAACAAATTATTTTACTCTCACTGTGAAAACACTTTCAAGCCATTTTTTCCCCTATGATTCCCTTAATTAGTGTTTCTCTTAATTAGTGTTTCTCTTCATTTTGCCACGGATAAACCTAACCCCAAAATGCCTCTAAACCTGTTTTCCAGAAATGGGGAAACACTGTGTGGACTTGCCCAAGTCCACACAACGTCGCCTCTACCTGGTTTATGTGGACCTCTTTTGTTCGGAAGTCCACACAGTGAATGTAATGCCTATCCAGCAAGTGTTATCTAGCCCAATTCTAAATCTTACTGGTTTCTTTGTAAAGTATGTTTGGTAGGCCTACACTTTTCTTTCGGATAAAGCTAAAACACACCCGTCGGAAACTGCGTTGTGTTTTTACATGGCGTTTCTCAGAGTGTCATAAGGTCTACAGCGGTCACGTTTATTGAACCCGAAATTTTTTCATCGTTAACGTCGCTCAAATACCGATCGGCAGCTTCTGCTTCAACGGAGTTTAATTCATATATTCACGGGAAAGCGAAACTGAAGGAACTTTTTATAACCTCAACGTTGAGACTTTCCATTGCGATGTTGGCCGTTATGATACCCTAAATAATTCGCTTCGTATAAATTATGTCGGCGTGATGTATAGACCATGCGACACTTAACATCATATTTTTAAGCTTCTACCAACCTGAAGATTAGTAGGCAAGCTTTCATCCACTCCTGTGGACTTTCTCAAGCCAAGTGATTGTGTACTCAGTTTCTTGCTGTCTGTTGTCCCGAGATCACTGGAGCGTAGATAGGTGATAATGAGTAACCAGAGTCCCTATTCAGTAAGGGTTCATCCCAAGGACAAATCGCCCATAGAAGAGAGAACAGGTATTATCTACAAGATTGCACTGATTGTGACAGTTCATACGTTGGAGAAACAGGGAGAACATTAAAGGAGAGATTGAAAGAACACAAACGAGTTCTTAGACTGAATTAGAACAATCCATCTCTTTCAGCAGTTGCAGAACACGCCCTTAATACTGGACACAACATTGGATGGGACAATGCCCACATTATCGACTTTGAAACACATTTCTGGCCAAGAAAGGTGAAAGAATCCATCTGGATCAAAAGGATTAATCCCTCACTGAATAGGGACTCTGGTTACACATTATCACCAATCTGCGCTCCAGTGATCTCGGGACAACAGACAGCAAGAAACTGAGTACACAATCACTTGGCTTGAGAAAGTCCACAGGAGTGGATGAAAGCTTGCCTACTAATCTTCAGGTTGGTAGAAGCTTAAAAACTACATGTTATGATCACCCCAACCGATGAAAGTTTTCTGTATTACATGTGACACTTGTTTACAAATTGGATGCTGTGGTCACGTGATGCATGATGCCAACTTTCAGCAGACGGTTGTCCTCTGCGCTGCATGTACATCTCCTGAAATTTCATTTCATTTCATTTATTATTTCTCAGGTAAGAACACACATAGACACAGAATACAAAAACAAACATTTAAGGTAACGTGCTAGTGTAACAAATGCAAAAAACAAACAAAAACAATATTGATAACACCCTTGAAGGATTGCCAAAAGCGAACTATATCTGGTGGCTCTCACTAAAAATGCTATCAATTACAAAGAAAACAAAAACATGCATGTATAAAATACCCAATCCCATCGAAATATGACTGGTTTTAAAGTGTTGACCGTGTACTGTTTTACATGCATGGTTTCCAAAATGCCCTTGTAGTTTTCACACACGAGTCTTTGGGAAGAAACTGCAGCTGCTAGCCAGTGGATTTCATTATGCGTTAAGTTTTCGGCCGCGCCGTAACAGAGTTATTCGGCCACGGCCTTACAAGTTATAAAGCTTGCATGAGGCTCAATCTTCTGCCATAGCTATGAATGCAGCGACACATCCCTTGGTGTGGCCAAAGTAGATCCATTATACGACCGATGGTGCTGGCACCAACGTCATTGATATTCTTCCCTAGGCAATTACGTTCTTCACGGCGGGTATGGAGACGACCAGCACATTGTTGAGTCTTACGGCCTACCTGCTCGCCATGAACCAGGACATACAAGAGAAGCTGCACGCCGAAATTGACAACCTCGCTCCCACCGGGGACAGCCTGGGCTATGACGTCATCCCCAAGATGGAGTATCTGGACATGGTGATCAGTGAATCTCTCCGCCTGTATCCACCAGCGGTCTTGTAAGTAAAACAGGCGATCAGTTGCACCCGATTTCACGAAGAGCTGCGAGTTGCGACGTGTAACACGTCGCAACTCGCGACGCGTCGTAAGATCCGTTTCACGAAATTGCGATGTGTTGAACGCGTCGTAAGTTCCTTGACAACGGCTTAAAACACGTCTAAGTTACGACGTGTGTCTTTGCAAAATAAGAAGCATCCTTTTCTTACCCAGTTTTACGCCGTAAAAATATACATAAACGAAACTACAATACCGAGACAATGTGTCTAAAGTTGTAAATAGAAAATACATTGAATAATTATGAATTAGCGTGGTTAACTTTTCAAAGTAGCTATACAGTCCACAGGGAGCTTGTCTTCCTTCATAATACATATAAAAAAATTCCTTATAGTACTTACTACACGTCAGGGAACCTCATCGCTTATACTGACCTGTAACATTGTCAAACGAGGACCGCATCACGTGTGCAACATTGTCCAATGAGGACAGCCGTCACGCGTGTGTTACATCGCCCAATTACAGACCCCAGCTTAGCTTACAGCCGTGACTACTTTTCTGTTCGACAATATTCATTTTATTCATCATAAGTGCCATTTACGCCGGAGGACATAACTCGCATTTATGGCTGTCATCTGAGTTACGATTGTAGGCTTTTCTAAAAGAACGGGTTTTTTTTAGAACTAAGCAGGACTGTTCTCATCAGAACTAAAACTAATTCGCGAAAGTTGATAATAAGCAGGACAAGTTCTTTCAGAACTAAATATCTACTGAGCGACAGTAGTTATTACCTAATTAGTGTACATGTTACCGCAAAGCGAAACGATAAATCTGAATTAATTTACACACAAAGGCACTTATATCAATTTCCCAGAAGCTATGAAAATCCTAAAAAGGAGAAGTCAGTAAGTGTTTTGTAACTTTTTAAAACTGTTGTCTGTAAAAATGCATGACTAAATGTATATGTTTGACTTCCTAATTGGTCATATATGACAGTTATGGATCAAAGCGTTTAAAGAAGCTCTGTTCTTGAGACTGACATATACTTTGTTCCTTGTTGAGTTAATAAATCTCATAAAATGGCTTTTTAGGGTTATTTAAGAAGCTGGTGAACACTCTGAAACTGGTGGCACATTTTCAAGGTCCAAGTTTTAGTGACAAATTTATTTCATATCACTTTCGTCGATAGTTTTGTCCGTCCAGACTTTCTGAGTGATTAAAACTCACATTATACGTAACAACCTGAAAAATAAAGTACATTGAACAATCTAATAACTCTCGGCTCAGATTGACCCAGAATGCGGGTTCCATTGGGCTTAACCCATTTTCGGGTCAAAAAATGACACTTTTCCAGATAAAAACATGACCCTTTTCCGGGTCAAAAATTACACTTTTGCGGGTCACAAATTATACTTTTCCGGGTCACAAATTACACTTTTCAGTGTCACAAATTACACTTTTCCGGGTCAAAAATGACACTTCCGGGTCAAAATGATTGTTTTTTTGTTCCCGTCAAAATTGACCCAGATGTTGTTACAGTGTATACGACAAGCTGTTGGATAATACCCCTTTAAGTTATTTGGAATGTTTCTTAATCTTGCAGTCTGGAACGCCTGTGCAACGAGACCATACGTTTGGATGAGTTCACTGTAGAGAAGGGACTATGCGTGTTCGTTAGCATCTGGGCGCTTCATTACAGTCCCGAGTATTGGCAGAATCCTGCAAAGTTTGACCCCGAAAGGTATAGTCAAATGATTTAGTGGAGTAACGGAGGGACGGGCCGCGTAATTTTTTTTCCTAGGAGGGTTAGTGGCAATGTCATGAATAATTCAGTTTTTCCTTTGAATCATTGCAAGACTTAGGTTCTCGTTCTATTTTCCCCTTAATTTAAAATTATCTCAGTGATAAATTTGGAGAAGAAAAATAGCTGATGAAAATGAGCAGCGACGACGTGGATTCGAACCAGGGATCTTTGTATCCATAGCTCATCTCGCTATCCACTAGGCTACTGTGTGGTATAGCTCGACGACAACCGTTCTTTAAAATGCTTTAATGTATTGTAACTAGTTGAGTAACTAACAACAATGCTGTTGATGTCATTGTCCGTTCTCATGGATAAACATGAATTATTCATGACATTGCCCCTAACCCTCCTAGGAATAAAAATTACGCGGACGGGCCCTGGTCGAGACGTGTGCCCAACCAGTGGCATTAATCTTCTAATTGTTACTCCTTTTTTTGTCTCGTCGTTTTATCATGCTAATATGATCAGCTGGGATGGGGATTGTCAGTTTCAGTGCAATTTTGTGATTTCTAGATGTATTTCTTAACTATAATTGTCTTTCAGATTACTTGTGTGTTTTTTTTTAATAACATATTGTTCTTCTTCTTGTCAAGGTCTTGTCTTTGTTTATATCTTTGCCTTGATGTACAAAAAATGTACATGTATTTGTATATAATGTGAGGGCCCCAAATTATCAATTCCTCCTGGATGGGTTACAGTGCCGGCGAGTGGGGGAGGGGGGAGGGAAGGGGATGGCCAAAATCCTAAAACTCCCCGGTCATGAAATTCGAAAAGGGGGGGGGGGGGGGGGTGGACACCACATGGCACTAGAGGTCACTGTTTATGATGCAGATGTATATCTCATGCAAACTGGCACTCTTACACTGCATCAAGACGTTGATTTTTTGGCTGTTCCCCATTTTTCAGTGCTATTTCATACATTTTGGCATTTTATTTTCTCGCCGCAAAAATATGCGGTAGGGGGGGGGGAGTATCCGATGACTTATCACCCCTTGTCAAAAAGTGGGCGAATATATCCTTGCCATCCTCCCAGGAATTTACACGGCCACGGCCCTTATGCGGCCTGCTCAGAATCTGAAGAAGGAAGCAAAGATGTCGAAGAGTTTCTCGCCCTGCCGGCCTCCAATTCGAGGTGCTAAGTTCCCTCGTACAGTGCTGAATCTTGGATGCAGAAGCATTAAGTATGTTCGGGTTAAAATGAGAACGGAGCTGGAAAGTTTCGTTCAACAGTAAACAGGTTTCTCAGCTATATAACCAGGTTCTTGATTTGTTTCAAGAACTGGGATCTTGCACACGTTTTAATGGAGGTAAGCTCGTACTCCACATGCAAATGTGAAATGAATTCGACGCCATGGAACTTTGCTGCGAAATTCGCGAGAATTGAAATGTTCAACTCTTGCGAATTCGTAGTCAAGAAACTTGCCGTGACGTCACAATGCGCGGTCGCGTTCGCTCTCCGGCTGAGTATGAACTTGCTTTTATTTTTTTGAGCATGTGACTTAAACTTGATATAACTTCTCAATTTGTGTGGTATCAACTGCCGGCTTATGAACCACTGTATTATTTGAAAATCCTTACTCAAGGCAAACGCTTGGTGGCGCTAGGCAGTACCCTTTGTAAATTATTCCTTTTTCTTATGTTTGGAAATGCAGATTCAGCGCTGAGAACAAGGCCAACATCAAACCGTGCACCTACATGCCGTTTGGCTTCGGTCCGCGTAACTGCATCGCTATGCGCTTCGCCTTGCTGGAAACCAAGATGGCGCTCGTCCATGTCATGCAGAAGTTCCGCTTCGACGTTTGCTCCAAAACTGAGGTAAGCTGTTTACTATTTTATACAAAGTTTCAAATGTCGATCGATGAACTGCAATAACAGATATAAGCAAGAGTAGACCTGTTTGTTTTATTTATTGTAAGTGAGTTACAGTAACACCTCCAAGATGGCCGATGTATACAAAGTGTATTGAGTCATTGTAAAGCATTTCCCGGGGTGCTTTTTTTCTGAATGTCTTTAAAGATGAATTCGGCGACCAAAATCAGAAGCTTTTACTGCGTTGGTATCACGCTCACGCACAGAAGTGTGTATTTGCCTGCAATCGGGGACCCCGTATTGTCCCTCTTTTGTTTGTACTCTAACTTTTTAGGAAAACCTCCAATATGTTTTGAACACGAATCCGAATTGGGGACCTCTCGGGAATTTGGGACCCTATTGTCCTCTATTGTTCAACGTCTCCTATTGAATGCAGAAACAAACTCGCATACACTCTTGTCCTCCCGAGGACAATACTTTGTGTTTCTTTTTGTCCCTGTTTGTTTTCTGAATGTCTCTATAGATGAATTCGGCGACCAAAATCAGAAGCTTTTACTGCGTTGGTATCACGCTCACGGACAGAAGTGTGCATTTGCCTGCAATCGGGGACCCCCTATATTGTCCCTCTTTTGTTTGTACTTTAACTTTTTAGGAAAACCTCCCATATGTTTTGAACACGAATCCAAATTGGGGACCGCTCGGGAATTGGGGACCCTATTGTCCTCTATTGTTCAACGTCTCCTATTGAATGCAGAAACAAACTCGCATACACTCTTGTCCTCCCGAGGACAATACTTTGTGTTTTCCTTTGTCCCTTTAATATAACACTTTCCCATAGACTAAGCACACAAACCTACTACAGAGGACCCTTCTGAACAAAATACCCAACGCCCGACGACTGAAAGGATCTGTTGTTCTTAACGAGGCGTGTGTGCATTTTGGTATTTCTATTGGTCAAAGGAGCCCGGAGTGCGCGTGCGTACTACCTGAGCGCGGCTCGCGCGAGCCTAATGCCACCGCAGAAAATGGCTGCCGCCGGATTGGTCTGTACATATTAACATATAGAAAGCACCCAGAGAGCGCAAACCTCCGCCAAGGCTAAACTATAAGCCTTTTCGGAGTTCCAACTGCGCGCATTCGTAACCTGTGACAACGCACATTGTTTGTCTCAAATGCCCTTTGACAGTACCCACAATGCACAAACAGCCTTTTTGTAAAGTCAGTGGCGCGATGTTGTCAAAGGCCATTTGAGACAAACAATGCGCGTTGTCACAGGTTATGAATGCGCAGTTGGAACTCCGAAAAGGCTTATTCCCCGCCATACTGTCAGTAGGCCTACACCCAAAATAAATACCCGCATAAATGGTGAAGAATCCTATACAATATCCTAGATCCAGACCCAGATCCGGATTATCTTGTTAACATAAGACAAACCAACCAACCAACAAACAAACTAACCAAATCCGATGAAAACATCGGCGGAGGTAATAATACTTTAAAGCTATTTAAAAAAAAAAAATTGGCAATCTCTTTTCTAGATTCCACCGACTCTGAGTAAATATGGATTTATTTCCCCCAAGAGTGTACTGCTGAGTGCTGTTCCCAGGATCTAGGATGGGAGACCCTCCCAAGACACTTGGAAATCGCATTGTTGTTTTCATGGAGAACTGTTAATTTCTTTCAGAGACAAATAATTAGAGTATTCGTATTTTATTAAGAATTTTGATATTACAACTAAAAATATTTATAATATATTGATAGACGAAAGAGGTAAAACACCTCAGATTGAATCGTGGTGGGAAAACGTATTTGGTGAGAAGATTAAGTGGACTTCCACATGGAAAAAGAAAATAGTCGACATTAAAGAAATTAAGTTGAGAAACTTCAATTACAGACTCATGCATCGTCTAATAGCAACGAAAGATTGATTGTATAAATAAAAAAATGAGAATAGTCCGTTGTGCTCAACGTGTGACACGATTGACGACTATAAACACGCATTCTTAACCTGTTTACAAACAATTGAATTCTGGAATCAATTAAAGGTTTACTACCAAGAAAAAACAAAAAGTAGTTTTATCACACCAACATTGCCAAACCTATTAACAGGTCTTGATAGAAGACCTGAGGTTAATTTGATAATTACGATAGCAATGTTTTCAATACATTAAGCAAGAATCAAAATGAGTATAGAAAATAAAAGGATAAATATTTTTAATGTGTTCATTACAGAGTTATTATTCAGAGCAAAGTTTCAAAAGAAAAACAAAGACTTCTGGCAACATTTTATGACTTAACTGTATACATTTCTTTAATTAATATGCCTACTGCTGTTCACACTTATATATTTTTATTCAAAATGATAACACCATATATATTATAACCTATGGTTCTTACAAACATTTATATACATGTAGTACATCAAAACTAATGTTGTGTATATCATTTATGATTGTTATATTTGTACTTTCTAAACATTGTAATAACTAGATTTTCAATATTGTAATTAATGGAAATAAATTTTGAAGGAAAAAAAAAGAATTTTGATATAATATTTTAGATTAAAGGGAATATACAACATTTGCAAACATCGAAAAATAAAACTACCAAGTTTTTGCAAAAAACCTTAATAGGATGTTGGTAAATGACAGTCTAAAGCATCCTGTAAAATTATGGCACCTGGTATACTGTCATTTTCAAGAAAAGTGGTATTTTTGTATCAATTTCCAACGCTGATCGGCCGATCAGCGTTGGAAACAACTGGCTTTTTTTCAAATACTGGCCCCAATTGACCATTGCACTTGTTTGCAATCGATTACAAACCTATGAACGGGTACGAGCCAGCTAGACTGGTTCCCTGACCTTACAATTCCCCAATGTATGTAAACTGCTCTGTTTCTTCTTATATGAAGTCAGGGAACCAGACTACAGGAAAATGATCGTTTTTCTTGGTTTTTATAGCATTTTCGATCCCAAAACCTCCAAAAAGTCAGTGTAACTATATTTGCTTTATATTTCCAAACCCCCAATTCCATCCATTTCTGAAAATTACAGCAAAAGCAAATGATGTATATTCCCTTTAAAATGCAACTTCAATAATCGGGTGTTTGTCAGAGTTGGAATCTCGCCGAGATGTTTTGCAGACCATGTGACTCGACTTCTTTTTTGTTTTGCTCATATAGAAGGCATATCTTATCTGGTGAATTATGAACTGTGTGTGTAATAGTATATACATTTGTACATGTATTTGTTATCGATTTCTTTATTTTATTTTAAATGTTTACGTAATTCTGCCTGTGGCTGTACAAAGAATTAGAGCGTAAGGTAATAGTTTATAAACCATTTAACCAACCCGACGAAATGAGTCACAAGCACCGATCGCTACAAAAAAAAAAGAAGAAGACAAATCTGGATAGCCCATTGCCTTCACTGTAAAAAGTGAAGTCACCGTCCGCCGTATTACCACTCTTGGTACTTGGTTGGTTCTTCTCCTAAGCTAAGGACTCAGCAAGGGAGTTTAACAGGAGGCCAAAAACAATAACAATGGAATTGTAAAGACAGCTATCTCAATTTAACTTTATTCGTTACCCTTTTATTAAATGTATCCATTGTATTTTATTAAACAGTTAAAATTAATTTGTGACTAAAAAATAGTTTGTATATTAAATTATATTGAGATAAAAATATTTAACACATAAATATTGTCTTTATTATAAATGTACGATGGGAATGTTTATACTGGTCCCCGTGCCATATTTGAATTGAGAGATTTGGAACCAGCGCGTATGTTTACGATTGTCTGTCTTATTTTTAAGGTCTTGTTGAATGGAAACTAACCTAATATCGCATTGTTCCTCGGAAAAGACGAGAAAAAAAAACGGTTCTTAAAGTTACATCTGACGCAGCGGACATTTTGTGGCATACGCATTATTTCCAGCATTTGGAGGTAGAAATAGAAGGATCTGATACACCGTGCCCTCTGGAGACGTGCACGCAATAGGGAACAAAAGATTGTATACGTCCCCACAGGACAATTTCTAGAGATGAATACGTCTCCACAAGGTGTTCACGAAATAGATATATGGATTTTACTCAAAAACTAGGAATTTTGAAGGTGGGTTGATCCGTCGCAAAAGGAAGAGTTTTAGAAAAGGGATATTAAGTCCAAATTTTAGCCAAGGAAATTATTTCTGGTTAAAATAAGAGCATTTTGAAACTTCACTTTCAAACTCGAAAACTTTACTACACGAGAACAAAAAAATTTCTCCACAAGAATACAAATTTCAGTATGTGTGTACACGTCGCATGTATGCACACAACATGTACAAGTATCGCATGTTGTCCTCCGGCCGCCGCACGTCCGCAGCATGTGCAGACCAGCGGATCACAACCTGTTTACAAAATATTACACAATGAAAATTGAAAAGTAGTAGGCAACATTTTCACTATTTGCATCGCCGTGAACGTAGAGGGCGACTGACCCATCGTCAGTCGCGATTCTGGCGGACCCGCAGCTGGACGTGTTTTGCTCGAGGCTCAGGAAACTTGAGTCTGATACCACCGGACCGGGGAAGATCTCAAGTTTCACGGGAGGAGTCGAGGATGCTAAGGGCAGGTTTGATTAGGGGTACAGGGGATAGATGTTTGCTCTTCAGGCCAAGATTTTTTTCGTTAGGAAAGTATGGCGAAGAGTTACCGCGTTTTATCGTTGCGGCGCTGAATTAAATCAAGGGCTGCTTAGAATCATGATCCATTTCCACTTCAGTGAGCCACGTACGTGTATTTATCTGTTTTAGGAATGTCCTTTGTGTTTATCACAAGATTGTCCGTGCCGGGTAGGATCCTGGCATTTTGTTAAGGTTAGTGTTATTCAAATCAGGCTATTTATGCGTAACGTTATTCATTGTGCAAGCCAGAATATTCAGAGTGTGGCTTCCGGTGGCTTACGGCATTGATCCGCAGCTCGAGTGCTTGCTACTCAACTTTCTGATTTGTTTGCATCATCTGTCGATAAACGCGACGTGCATTAACGACAGCGAAAATCAACCCAACGACATTAAATGCAGTAGCAGGTATGCGAATCAGAATATGCGGCACCGGGTTTGGAATGTAACAGTAGGCGACGTACGCCCCTACCGAAACGCGGAGGAATAGAAACAGCACCGCACGCGTCACGTCCACGATCTTGTACGCGATGTGCTCCGTCATGTCGTGATACCTCATGAAACGCAAGAGACTGTTCATGGGGAGAGTTATGAAGGCGAAGAAAAGGAAGTAAACCACCTCACTGCCCGATCGACCGGTGGCGAGTGCCGTGGAGAGCATCATTATGACCAGGGAGTGATGGACGAATTGTCTCAGGTTCTCGAGATGACCGATACAGCAACAGTGGAAGAGGTCGTACAGCATCCCAGAAAGGGCGTTGATCAGTAGGATTGTCTCCTTGGCGTTGGATTCGGCACCTGTTTGCGAGAATCAATCAATCAATATGAATTGTCACAAGAACCAGAGCAGTTCCGACTGTGAAAATGGAGGTTAGAGTTTAAACATTTTTTGTAGGCCTATACCCGCTTTTTCAGACATGTTTAGATTATGTTATTGCACGGTATAGAGAGCGGCGTAGCCACGGGGGCGTTTGGGATGTATAAACAAATTGGCAACCAGAGATAAACACAGTCCTTAAAGTTACCATGTTCAGCGGGTTTAACCGAAAGGGGTTTCTTTGATTTTTTTGGAACAACTTTGTTTACTTTTGACGAAAGTCATTGGTATAGCGTTTCTTGGTCCAGTTATGTTTGGAAGTATAAATAACGATGTTTTATTTTTACAACGGTGGCTTTCCACCGTAGTAGTAGTGGGAGCTCTTCATCATTGTCACCGTTGAGGGTACCCATGCACAGTGTCTATTTGATGTCTGAATGGCAGATGAACATTACAGGGTGAGTAAAAAAAAAAACGAAACCCTATGTCAGGACCATTGTTTTAGTGACGTTTTGCATGTAGCACTTTCAAAATCTAGGATATAAAAGCCCAATTCATAAACTTTCTTTTAGCACAAGAATCATTCACATGACTTATGTACTTTTCAAGTTGCGGAATTTTAAACACAACCACCGTTTTAAAGTTGTGTCCACGGATCACAAAAAGGTAACTTCTTTCAGCAAAACGAAAACAAATCACATAGGGATGTGTATGAATTGTTTTCGTTTTGCTGAAAGAAGCACACATTTTTTTGTGATCCGTGGACAGAACTTTAAAACGGTGGCTGTATTTAAAATTCCATAACTTCAAAAGTACATGAGTGATCTGAATGATTATTGTACTAAAAGAAAGGTTATGAATTGGGCTTTCATATCCGAGATTTTGAAAGTGCTACATGCAGAACTTCACTAAAACAATGGTCCCGACATTTGGGTGGTTTTTTTTTTTACTCACCCTGTACATCATTCATGGCTATAATGGCTGTGAAATGGGCTCATGAAATAATATTATAATTAAACAAAAATGAAAATCATTTCATTTTACTTAGAAAAGTACCTGGGTTATCGCAAGGGTCGGTTTTGTAAAATTCGCACCAGACGGCCAAGCCTAAAGTCGCGATGATGTTGAGCGTCACAACGAAACGATTCCTGCCCGCCTTGGGCGTGTCAGGAAACGCCAAGCTGGTGAGGACGTAGAGGGCGCACCACAGAGTAAACAATGCGGCAACGGCTAACACGATGCCTGCTGGCGTGAACTCCATCGTGGCTGGTATGAATGTCTCAGATTTAGGATAGATTTCAAACCTGCAGCAAATAGTAATGACATTTAGAGGTCATAAGTGTCGGCTCTCATCGGGGTGAGGCGGACAAACCAATTACTAAGAAACTTGACGTATTTCATTCTATACATTATTTTAGGGTACAAAATGTGACATTTGTGCTATATATGGTATATTTATATAATATATGGTATATTTTATTCACATTATCACATTGTAACCCGAAGGTCAAATTGCATGATAATTTACAATATTAAAAACATCAAAATCACAGTAAACATGAATTAAACAAATTAAGAAAAACCCATACAGGTTGGTTGAGAATCTAAAAAAAAAATAAAATTAGTACATTGCACATACCTGTAGATTTGTCTGCCTCAAATCTTTGAAAAAATTTAAAAAGCTGCTCACAGAGAATACTTATTTAGATAACTGGTAAAAGTTAACACGGGCTGTTTTGTTATTAATCAAAATGCGAGTAATAATCTTACACAGATCTGTGGCTGCTCTGGTGCTCAGTAATTATACAATTTCAAGTATCATTGAGAATGACCTCAAACGACTTTTTGTCGGGTAGGTAATTTGCTATTCATAATTACTCTTGGAGATCGACTGCACTATAAAGAGTGCATCACATGGAGTTATAAAATGTTCATGTAAAACTGTCAACATAAAACTTTATAGGCCTGCACTGTGAAAGTAAAGCGCCTATCAAATGTTTCCTCCCCCCCCCCCCCCGCTGCCCCAGGTCCGATGTCGGGATTTGGTCACGTTTTTCATGCCCCAGGGTGGGGATTTTGGTCACTCAAATTACATTGTTAACATTGGTGTACTGCATGGAAAGGCAATCACTAGTGCGCCCCACGTATGTATGTCGGGGCATGGTCGGAGATTGTCACTTAAATTTTGCCCGAGGGGTGGGGATTTTGTCACTTCAAAAGTGACAATCCCCACGTCTTGGGTGGGGAAGCCCGCGGGGAGGGGTGGGGAAACAATTGATAGGCACATATAAACAGTAACACATCCTGTCACAAGATTACGGAAATTTATTCGCTTAAAATACTCTAAATTTATGTACTATTGTTATATCATTCGAATACATGTACATAATTATTATTAAGGGCTACGCTGCATAAATAATTCGTCGCTGTTTTCAGGAAGAAACAACATTGGACAGAAAGCGTCAGTTTTTATTTGCCAATAAATTTGATTTTCGTGAAGAAATAACTCGATCAATAACTATTATTTAAACATCCATGGATGTGTTTCATTCGATTTCTTTCGAAAACTGAATAACCTTTATATAGGAATAGCAATGTTTTTGGACTGTGGTGAAACTCGAAACGGGGAAGTCTGCAGTTCATCGGTAAAATGGTGGTTCCGACTTGGCTAACTGCATGCGTGCATTTATAATGCAAATAGCTCAAAGAGTTAACGTAGTAGTACAGGAAATCGGAGCAGTGCATGTACGTACATGCATGGAGAAATGTTTTATTTCTCCATGGTACATGACATTGTATATAGGCCCATTATGTACATAGACTACATGTAGTACATTGTGCATACGTACACGTACAGTACATGTACATGTACATGTTCATGTACACCCATATTGTGCAGCCTAGCCTATGGTGTAACATTGTAAAAAAACTTGGCTTGGCTGCCCATGAATTTTGGCTTTCTTTCAACTCGTAAATATAACAATATCTCAATAACACTGTACCATAGCTGATATACATGGACATGTTCATTTAATTAAGTGACGTCCAAACACTTACGATCTTTCCCGATTTTTGCGTGGACTTGAACAGCAGAATTCGCGAACTCAATCATCCACCTCACCCAACAGCCGCAGTCTTGATGTTTACGTGCAACAGCGTTGTTGTTCGTTGTTGTTCGGTCAATTCAAGGTCATTCGTTATAGTCACGGCCGGCCATCACGTAATTTCAACATCGTACAATCATAGAGTTAGGTCCTAGCTCTACAGCGTGTCACGGCGCATGGCTAAGCCTACCTACCTGCCAAAAAAATCCATTCTGTCAAATTTTCTGTCAAACTCGTTTTTTTTAACAAAAAATTCTGTCAAAGTTAGCCGAAAATTGGCTGAAACGGTCACCCTGCTACCTGCACTATGCGGGTTTATTCAGTACTTGTGAAACCAGGAAACACCGGACTGACTGTCCTAGCTGCCAGTGCACGTATACGTGCCGCACCCCAGTTATCCGAAAACTGGAGGCATATCTGTTTAGCACCATGGACCTATGGTTTGATTATAATAATAATAATAACACTATTTATAGCGCGCATTTTCGCAAGTAACAATGCGCGACTAAGGACAACTCCAGAAGACAAGTTATAGATTATGTGGAGAAAACAGATCAGTTTTCAGTCTGCCCTTGAAGTTGTCAAGAGAACTGATGTTGCGGATGTTGTGTGACAAGGAATTCCAGCATCGGGGACCAGACACTGAATAGGCCCTGTCCCCTGCCTTTTTGAATGTGCGTGGAACTCTTGTATACTGGAGCGGAGGCCACTACGGCTGGATGAATTACTGAGGTTGAGTGATCCCATTATGTGCGGCATTGTGTTATGAAGTGCTTTGTGCATGAAAACTGCTGTTTTGAAGTTGATGCGTTGTCTAACTGGTAACCAATGTAAATAGAGAGAACAGCCCAGGAAAAAAACATGCAACCCCCTCCAACCCCCCCCCCCCCCAACAACAGAGAACAATTGTTGTTAGAGAATGATTAAGTACAGTTTGACTGATATCTTGTCAATATTACACACGGAGAACACTAAGTTACACATTAATTCCCATTGTTTTTAATGTCAAAATTGATGGGTAATATGACATATAATTGAACATTATTGAAATGAATAATATATTGAATTTCACAATGTTATTATTGGGTTAAGCTTTCACAGGTGAATTTTCTGAATGTTATTTTAATAACAATTCGCCATCAGATTCTCTATTGATAAGTCGAAAGCATAATGCTTGTTTTTTTTGTTATGATTTGGTGTTTGCTGGGGTGTTTGTTTGTTTGTTGGGGTGTTGTTGGGTTTTTTTGTGTTTTTTTACTCCGTTAGGAAAAAATGTACAAAATATAAACCACGATTCAGAACCAGGGGCGAGGTGATTTAATCGTGATTCATTTTACATAATCTTTTTAATCAATTTAATCAATTTTAATGTATGTAAAGGCTGGCAAAGTTGTCGGCCATACGCATGCTCGCACATGAACCCAAACACTTGCTGATTGAAAACATTTCTGAGAAAATGAAAACCATAAGTTCAGTGTCGTGTACTGAATTGACAGCCAAAGTGCTGGATTAGTTATAAAATTGAGGTTTCTTTACTAAAATTACATCGGGGAAGGTGGGGTTACAAGCTGGTGGTCACGTGGATCTTATATTACATATGGGCACTTGAGGGCGCTGCTTACTTGTAGCTGGTATATCCCCAACTTCGTCCCCTGGGTGTCGAGCAGTACGCGCCCACCACTAGCTACTCTCTCACCCTGGTATTGGATCATTTGCATGGGCAAGGTTTTTGAACACGTATGCAAATGAGGACTAGTCTGGTGCCTGCCTGTGCGTTACATTTGCGTTTGTTTTTGTATTTGGTGTCTGGGGTAAAAAGAGAATCAATTCGTTGCAGTGCGCGCGAGCATGGCGTGAGTTACGAAAACACGATTTTATTTTAATTAAACTGTTACGATCATATCGAGACAACATATGCAGTATCACATTTCATATTAATATGAACACCTTTTTGTTCATATGGGAATGTTTAATTACACATGTTAAATTATTCATTGAAGCAGACTGGAATTTATTATACATTAAGTTACTTTTCATTTCTCTTCGCAAGTTTCAAACATTAAGATTTTACCTAACTTTCAATTCAATATGGCTCGTGCCATATTTTCAATGGGGAGCGCTGATAAAATCCTACAATCAGGTACACTATATTAACTGAAAGTGTACAAAACAAATGCACCCTTCTCACGACTATTTAGGGTGAGAACGTTCGCATGTACGTCACATTCTTACATTTTGCTACTGCATTTATTTTTATTCTGGATTTTTTTTAGCCCCCCCCCCCCCCCCGCGCCCCCGTAGAACCGCCACTGCATGCATATTACGAATAAGAACTTACTTATTATGAATAGAACTAGGACGGCCGCAGACTGCACGAAGAAGAGGCCTTATACACGTTACGCACTTTCATCTTGGCCGAAACGAACCTCCGGGAAACCATTGTTAGGCGCTCTATACCCTGTAAGTTAAACCATTCAAAAACCTAAACATTTACACAGAGCCATTCGTGTAGCATTTTAACCAGTCGGTTGACGTAACAGGCAGCTGTGTAGCCAGGGTTATCGTCCTGGGGGAGGGAGGGGGGCTAGTGGGGGGAGGAACGTCATAGTGGGGGCGGGGGCGCCCAATTACAATCAAAGGGAGGGGAGGGCCTGGATGCTATCTTTCCATGTGGGCGCTGTTCTAAACTGACATCATAGTCAATGTAAGACAATAGATGGCGCTATACGATTTCCACTGGACGTTTATTAAACAGCCTATGGGGGGGGGGGGGGGTTCGTTAACAATTATAACAAAACGTGTAAAAAAAAAAGGCACTTCAACCTCAACCCGCTGAGCATGGTAATTTATACGACTGTTATTTTCCCCGGTTGCCAAATTTCCATGGGGGGAACTGGGCGGGCGACGATTATTTTATGGGGGCGTGCCCCCCTCCTTCCGCAGCTATAGCTATGCCGCTGCTAATAAAAGGGAATACGTGTACAACTGAAGACGGGCAGAGTATATAGGCTGTCCAAAAACGTTGGGTTTCCCCCATAGTGCAGAATTAACCTCACAATATTAGGCTAGGCATATTAGGCCAAAAAAAAAAAGTCTCCGCTTTCTGGTATGCGCGCGCGTCGCCGTAGCCATGCGCGTCGGCAAAATGAAAAAGTTTTTTTTTTCAATAAAAGATGATGTTTCAAAACCGCCAAACTCACTGGTTTGACTGGAATTCTGCTGCTGCACAATTTTAACGTGTTTTTAGAAGGGGTTATGATCGAGAATAAGATTTATGTGGCCTCTCTGGACTCCCATATATTTGCACTAAGTTTAGTCGGGCACCATTTGCAGTCATCAGCCGACATTTGAAGCCAAAAAAAAAAAAAAAAAAAAGGTAAAAAAAAAAAAAAGCCGCGTCGCCGCACCACTTTTGGGGCAAGCTCCATACCAGAAACCGGAGACTGTTTTTTTTTGGCCTTATCTTGGGATTTTTTGGTGAGGGAACCACGCGCCCCTCCATGATGGCTCAGTGCCAACCTTACTCGGTTGTTCCTAAGCTTCGTGCTAATATATATTTACCAACTAAGTTAACTTGTTCTGTTTGGAAAAATGTACGTAAATAATTGTCGGAGAATTTAAATTTGTGAGCTCGATATCAAACCGCTGGGTCTTGAGGGATCGTGACGGGATGCATGGGTGCGGGCCGGGGTTGCGGGCTGGCTCTATTCCAGAATTTCTGTAACTCACTGCACTGTACAAAATATATACAGGATTCGGTATGAACAATTTCCTCCGAAAAGTGTCCAATAATCTCTGATTATCATTTTATGGCTCATTCTCAACATTTTTCATATTCATTTTGAATATTGTTTACTTACTTTAAAAAGTAAGTAAACAATATTCAAAACGAATTTTTATATTAATTTATCAATTGTTTAGGCCTAATGACTATATTTTTTCTTTGTCAAGAATGTGTGTATTTGTACAGCGCTAGTGACACATAACGGTTTCGAAAATGATATAATTATTACACTGTCCGACACCATATCATATAGTATAAAAGCATTCTATTAATTATGTTATGAGCAATTTTATGGGTTCTACTTGAAAACTGATTGTACTCATTATTATGATACAAATAAAATGCAAAATTTTGTTTCAAAAGCGGAAAACCTGCATCTGGTTCCGACGTTAATTTGAACAATTTGAATCTGGTTTCCACGTTTGAACAACTTCAGGAAAGTTGTCGACTTTTAAGCATTCGCCGTAAGTTCATGCATTATTCATTTTGACATCCAACGAATCAGGGTGACCGCAAGGTCAGAGCCAAATTCTGCTAAATGCACATAAAAATATCTGTCAGATTTATCAAAAATCTGCCACATTCCACAGAATTACTTGAAATACACAATAAACACTTAAAATCACATGCAGATTGGAAGTATTGACTTAATTAACGTTCAAATTACATTATAAACAATTTATAGTTTAAAATGTTATGAAATTGTTCTGAAATTATCGCGTAAATTTTGGGTAAAAAGGTGCAACCGCAACTAAATCCGGCCACAACAAAGTCCCAGTTAACCTCAGCACCTTCACCAGCCAACCTAGCTGTCCCATTATGCAAAGGTATGAAGTATTTTTAAAACAATGTGCCATTTTTTATTCAAATTTGCTGTTTTTCTGTCAAATTACCATCTTTGCAGAATTCTGCCAGAAATCTGCCAAAAAATCCATTCTGTCAAATTTTCTGTCAAACTCATTTATTTTACAAAAATTCTGTCAAAGTTAGCCGAAAATCAGCTAAAACGGTCACCCTGCGATGAATCGGGAAGGCGCGGGGATAATTTGGGATTTCCCACCTTATAAAGGGGGTGCGGGAATCCCATTGGATTCGACGAATCGACGGTACGGCTAGACAATGACGTCAGCGTAACCTTTGACATAAAACGGGTGATTGTAAAAACATTGTACCCTAGTAAATTGAATTTCCGTACTAGTGCGCATGCGTCTTACCAATAAACACCAATTGATAGGTTGAGTGTACTTTGGTGTCTGAAGTCTGAGTTAATATGACACCTCCACTTTCCACTCGCCCAACGCATGGTGCCTAGTTCAACACAACAACACAACGAAATGCAGTTGAGTTAAGTTGATATCGATACTTTTACCTGTTTACTTGCCTTTCAAACGGCGTTGAATTAATACTTTCGTAAACTAGTACAAGAGCAACTACAACTTTCAGTTTCAGTGAAGGATGACGGAGTAACGTCCTTCAGCTATATTTGTGCTGGTAAGTGTAGGCTCATGTTCTAGATTTAGATCAGACAGAAGGCTTCTCTGACGCCCGGAGAGAAGCCTGCTAAGTGCTAGAGTAGGCTCGTTTGACCATTTTTCGTGCACTTAGTTTGACCGATTTTTTTCTTGCAAAAACTAAATCATAGTTCATACACAGTTATGGACTTTAATAATATTGTAAGAATGACTAATAAACTACATGGAAAAATAATTGAACATATTGAACGTCAAGGAAGCAGCAAGAACGTCGTCGTCTGCAGATGAGTCAAATTGGCTGCCACAAATGTTTCGTGCCCATAATTCGCGCACAAACGGAAAACGTCATTCTACGGACTAACGGAGTCTCCATTGTGTCCTACTTCTTAAAACAATGCGGATCGATGTTTGTTGAATAAAGGATAAGTTTATGTGCACAACTTTGGTCTGTAGTTTGATAAACTAACTTTTATTTGCCATCTGACATTGTTACTAAATACACGTTTGAAATAAATGAATTTCTTTTGATTTTGGTATGGTAAAAACAACTGCATGCAAAATAACTTGAGTAACTCCAGCTCTAATAATATGCCTATGCGATAGGCATTAGGAGCTGGAGTTACTCAAGCTACATGCAAAATATTTAAAATCATGTCGTAATTAAAATGTTGACGTAAATAAACTAAGGGGCCATTCAGAATTCAGTGTTATAAAATTTTGACTATTTTTCCAAATTGTGGATGGGTGGGTCAAGTTAAGGAAAGATTTCCATATATGAAGTTCACTAATTTTCCTCTGTATTGACTAACAAGCCCCCAGATAGCAATTTCATGTCATCAAAGTCAATTTGAGCAGTGAGAAAATACAAGCATTTTCTTAGAAAACACTTAGAATTTTTCAGTCCAATCTCATAGGGTTTAACACAGGGTGTTGAGTGAACTTCGTATATGGAAATCTTTCCAGTTGAAATTTTAAAACACTGAAAATTCTGAATGGCCCCTAAATCCACAAATATTATAATACTTTTGTCGAAAGTCTAAGAAGCTTAGTTAAATCCTATGCATGGAAAGAGTTCAGAGAATTTTGCTTTGCTGAAAATCAACCATGTGCCAATTACATAACATTTTACAAATGTATGCAGATTCTCCCAAAATGATAGAAACATTTGCAATATAACTTAAGTATGCCGTGGCTATATTTTTAAGTACTTGGCAAAAATATTTGAAATGACCCATCCATCAAAAACATAACAAAACCAGTGGTTTTAACCACCCTTCTTTAACAATCTTCTCTGGCATTTATTGCTGATTCTAGTACACCTGCGATCAATCAATCAATTATACAGGCGCACGCGTTGCACGTGGTCGACCATACCATTCCGTGGCCAATCCGATCGCGCCGCCTCTGCACATGGTTGCATATGCTACACATCATTTCAATAAAAACAAAAAACAGCTATTGGCGTACTTTTTGGGTACTTTAAACCTTACGATTAGGCCTTAATATTCCCACAGGAATATATTTTAAGGCATATTCATTCCAACAAACAACTCGGTACCGAAATCTGCATCTCTGCGAAACAGATCGTAAAATAAAAATGCAATAAGGCCACCAAAAAAAATAAGTCGGTCTCTGGTCAGCGCGCGCGTCGATTTTAATCATGCGCGTCGATCTTTTTTTTTTTCCAAAATGTTCCGCGGTAGCTCCAACAGCGGCCTCTATTTCCGCACCTCCTCATTTTTTTTTACCAAAGAGCACCAAGGAATGGGAAATTGCACCAAGGCAAATGATCGAAAGCACCAAGGCAAATTATGGAGGACACCAATGTACATGAGGACACCAAAAAAGCAAAACAGTACCCACCTTGTCTGTACAATCCAAGCTTGAAAAAAAAAAAAAAAAAAAAAAAAAAAAAAAAGCCGCATGGCCTCGTCAATTCCGGAACTTTGGTCTGACCAGAGACCGAATATTTTTTTTTTGGCCTAAGGCACACATTGTAGTTCGTGCTCCGTAATTCTGATTACTGTTGTTTAGTGAAAGTCGACCAAAGTTGACTTTCACATTTCGATATCGCACTTTAAAAAATTCTTCCGATTGAAAGCATTTCGTTCAAAGCGTGGTTTGTAGCCCAATTGGTGTCCCTTTGAAGAGAACAAGGCCCATACTTGTACCTACACAATCTTGCATGTTAAGACCAACTTTTATATCCGTACTTTTATCTTGAATCTTTTCAGGTTATTGTCTGATTTAACTTGTCCAACGAACACCTCTTGAGAGTCAACAGGGCAGGCAAACATGGCGGAAGCCTCCACTTCAGCAACGAGGGAAGGACATCCCAGCGACACAGACAGGGTTGCGCCTACAGGAGAAAAAGGTGATAAGATTGTGCGCACTTTGCAAAATAACTTGTTATGTTCGATCACAACTTTTAGAATTAAACAGAGAAGAAATAAAATAAGTGGCTACATTGAAGCTTTGGGAGGGGGGATGAAAGCATGGGCGTGGCAAGGGGGACTCTTGTCCCCCCCCCCTAGAAAAACAACCCCAAAAAGAGGGGGAAAAGAAAAGAAAAAGAGACGCAAAGTAATATTGCTGTTAATATAATTGGTTTGGGAGGGGAGGGGAAATGCCCCTTCCCACCCTCGAAAACTTAAAAATCAAGAATATGCTGGAAAAGTACAGGGATTTGGGAGAAAATGTGCTTTGACCCCCACTGGAAAAAATCCTGGTGACGCCCATGGGTGAAAGTAGTGAGGTCTTGTCATGTAAAACAAAGGAGAACGTTTGTGAAGAAAGGCAAGTGGGGTAAAGTGGCTTGCCCAAGGACATGTAGTATGGCCAATAGCTGTATTTGAACCCTTGACCCTCTGATGAGTCTCAAACCCTAACCACTAGCATGACAATGCCCCCCCCCCCGGGAGGGGGGGTGTTGACAAAAGTGCACTCTACAAACATCGATCAATGAAAGTAATATTTTGATTTGTACAGGAAGTTTAAATAAAACTCCTTTATTTGTATTTCAGATATGAAAGGAGATGAAATGTACCAACAAATACATCTTGTTGAGGTAACAAAAATTATTCAAAAGGAAAAAGTACACTTAATTTTTTTTTCAATCAAGGAATGGTGCACTTTCTAATGGCATCCACACTGAATCTGAAAACTGGGGGAAAATCTTAGAGTTGCTGTTAGTCCAAAAAAAATAATAAGTCGGTCTCTGGTCAGCGCGCGCATCGATTTTAATCATGCGCGTCAATCTTTTTTTTTTCCAAAATGTTCCGCGGTAGCTCCAACAGCGCCCTCTATTGCCGCACCTCCTTAATTTTTTTTACAAAAGAGCACCAAGGAATGGGAAATTGCACCAAGGCAAATGATCGAGAGCACCAAGGCAAATTATGGAGGACACCAATGTACATGAGGACACCAAAAAAGCAAAATAGTACCCCACCTTGTCTTGTACAATCCAAGCTTGAAGAGAAAAAAAAAAATTTTTTTTTTTGGCCTTAGTTAGCTTTTAAATGTAGGAACTGGCTTCTCTTGCCGCTGTTTCTAAACTTGGTTTTTCTTAAGTGATATTCCATCGTTCCAAAAATCAATTTGAAAACAGCAAAGTAAAATATTTGCAGTGAAAGATCTATTTTTAGATTTGGTACAACTCTAGCTTAAATATACAGCATGACAATGCTAATGTAACGTGAATTAGTGAGTGCTGCAAATGGTCGCTACAGATGTTATACTTTGAGACATAGATTTTTGATATTCAGTACGCACTGATAAAAATCTGTGAGGTTTGTGCAAGAGTTGAATGAAATAAGTATGTTGGTTCATGCTACAAAAACATACAATGATATTTTACAAAGTGAAACTTTGTTGTTATAAATAAGGACACATGCTTTCGTTGTTACGGAAGTTAAATTATTACGTTATGGATGTTACATGTCTGCAATCTATGTGTTAACCATGTGATAAAAAAACCGTTGCTGAAGCAGGGTTTTCTAAGTTCTGTGTGATATTGTCATAAAATATGTAGAACTTATTTTATTCCGAGTGTGCACAAACCTAGAGCATCTTTTCAAGAGCACCAGGCATTGTCGGCAATGCAATCAAGAATTCCAGTGGTCTCTCCGAACTCTCTCTTTGAGGGCTTGATTCTTAGTTAGAATGAATACGTCTTCATGTAGTTTAACCAGTTCGCGCCGGGATTATTTTGACAAGAACGGAACGAGGCGCAGGATTACTTTTCACTCGACCTCAAGCCAGGCAGGCTGAAACCATCACCCTCGGGCAGCACACTCATATTTCCGGCCTCCCCCGCTGCGGGTCGCTGACAGATATTTCTGGCCTCGCTCCCTGCATGTTTATCCGTCATCAGTTCCCGATACTGCAAAACCTTTGCGGGTATACATGTCATCCGGCGCAAACTGGTTAAAATGTTCAGTTGTGGAGAATCATAGATCTTGATAATAATACCGGAAACGATGAGACAACTTGGGAGTTGCTTAAGTTTTTCTGTTTTCTTTTTTTTTTTTTTTGCAAAAGATGATTGTGAGCAGCAAAAGGCAGCTATTGGAAAATGTAACTCGTATCATCGCTGTCCAAAGGAAGGGTATCCAGCCATCTGATTTGCAGGCCTTCAAAGAAGAGCTCTGCAAAGAACGAGACCATCTCAACACTCTGAAACTGAATCTGAACGAGTACAGACTGCAGTTGATTGGAAAAGAAAAAGAACAAGTTAGTGAGCTTTCCGCAGGGAAACAGGAATGGGCATTCAACAGGGAACAGAGACAGTGGCTGTACTTGAGACGGGAACTTCTGTACGAGAAGCAGAAACTCAGGGATGTATCCCAAGCTGGTGGACAGGCTTCTACGCAAGAGCTTCCTGGAGAGGAAAAGCACAGTGAACTGGACTACAGCGATAAACCACTAGCGGCACTCAAACGGCTTAAGGCTGCGGAAGCTGGTTTGGCAGACGAGTTGACATTCATCCAAAGGAGCAGTGAGGAAGACTTATCCCGCGCCGGCAGACCTGCTATTCTGTTTCACTTTGAACAGCTCGTGTGGCATCAGAGGATGTGGGTCTGCAATCTGGAGGAGGTCCTGCCCGGACAAGAAACGGACGTTGGTTCAGAGAAACAGGGTAGAATCGTAACCGAGCTGCGCAAGGTTGTCGTTGCACAGAAGGAACTGATCAAGATTCTAGAAGATGCTCTCGAGCAGAGGAAGGTTCCAGGGAGACAGTTTAAGATGGCAGAGATACAGAGCGGTACAACTAAGGAGCTAGTGGAGCTTATCTCTGAGCAGACCCGCTTAGTGGAAGCCAGTGATCCGGTGCAGGAGTACAGTGGAGAGCTGCAGCGCGTGGACTTGATGGTGGAAGAGTTTGCCTGCATCAACGTACGTTGGGAGGTCATCTTTGAGCACCAGAGGTTGAGGGGCCACCGGAGGCAGCCATTGCAGAAAGCTGTGGTGGAGTCTGTTGAGATGCTGAGACAGCAGGTGTATGCGCTGGGCCTCAACCATCGAGAGATCTATCAACCATTAGATATTCGGTTGGATCTTGAAGAGGACATTCTACTCAAGCAGATGACATTTTGGGGAGGAGTCATAGAAAGTTACTGGGCCTGGCTGTCATGGAATCTTGATGCTGTCCGTAAGATAAACATAGTGTTGTAGTTGAGTCCAGCACAGGTCCTCACAAGTCCCTCACAAGTCCTCACATACAACAATTCTATGACAAGTCCATCACAAGTCCTCCTCAGTCTATCAAATGTCCTTAAGTTTGTCACAAGTCTATCACAAGTCCACACAAATCCATCACAAGTCTTCACAATTCCTCTTGTTCCCAGTCACTGGCTTTGAGTATAATGAACTCTGACAATAAATCACTAGGATAACTGACCCATTCTGTGAAGTCTAATGCTTTCACCATCAATGTGCACATCTGAAATGTTCTAAAATGTTAAAGACTCTACCAAGTTCAGTGTTACGATGAAGACCATCTACAAAAACTAGACTGATCAGCAACATGCACAAACACATCGCACTTATACCGAGGGAACATTATGTGAAAAATTTGTTCTACAACTTCAGTGCATGCAATAATGATGAACATTATGCAGTACGGTACAAATGTACATGTATTCTGTGATGACGAAGTATAGTGAGAGCGTATAACGTTTTTGATACAGTCCTTTTGTCAATTTTTCAGCTGAAGCAGGTACCGGTACACGTACACGTGAATTTGTGGGGCAGGGAGCATCATCAAGCTCTGTCCAACCAGCTGTCGGTGTCGAGGGTTTTGGGTCACCAGGCATCAGCATAGAGGACGACAGGGTACCAGACCAAGGAGACTCCCAGGTTCTGGGGTTAGGGATGATCGATGGGAGTGCATTGCCGGTCAGTTTGTGTTTCCGCTACTCTCAAAATGTAGGACCCCCCAATACACTGTTTTGAGAGTCCCAAAACAGAAGCCCTGCCAAAACCTAATGACGTCAGGCTTTGTTTACATGTGAGCTTTCCTATGGGAGCCAGATGGGCACGATTGGCTGGCGTCCTACCTGGTTCCCATTGAAAAGCGCACATGTAAACAAAGCGCGACGTCATTATGTCTTAGGTCTATTGAGGTTAAGCGCTCATTGAAAAAAAAAACCCACTCATTTCACAGATATGTACTCCTGCGGTTATATAAACCGTGCCACCTAGTGTTGAATGGTGTCCACCCACTTGCTTTCGAATATGCAACGACTGGGAAAGTATAAGGATTTTAGGGCTGTCATACCCCCATCCCCCTGCCAGTCATTGATACAGATTTACGCCACAGGGCTGGAACATGCGCCTGCATGATGTTGCCAACGTGCGCATGGGTGGGGCCTACTGTATCAGTCTATTCTAGCATGTCTAGCCTCAAATGGGTTTAATTCCTAAGCCAGCAGAGATGACAGTGATTTCTATTGTATGTTACAACGTCTGTTTTATTTCTTCTTTCCGGGTAGATCATTGGCCAGTTGCATTCTTCTCAGCCACCTAAATTCAGCGATGATGCTTTTTTGTTAGACGATTCAAGTAGTGATTCAACTCCATCACCTCCAACTAGTCCGGCATACTTACCATCGGACAGCAGAGAATTGCCAAAAGGTAATTTACAAATCCAATTTGTTAAAATTTGAGATAAAAATGTTGAGAATAAACAGGTAAAATTGCCCAAAGAGCAGAATCCAACATGAAAAAACCCCAACACAGTTCATGTAATATTTACTCCCTAGGCAGTTTTTGTTAGGAGGTGTCCCCCAAATCTTATACACCATTATCAAGTTGCGGCTATCTTGAATTTTTTTTGGATAAACTCATGAGATGATTCCTAAGGATTTTTTTTTTAAATGAGATGGAACATTTGCGTCAGGGTGATGTAAATCAAATTAGGTTTTGCCCTTCACCGACGTATAAACACTGTATACTCAGTATGTTACCTCCCAAGTGAAAGTTGGGAAAAATCACTCGGGTGGGACTCGAACCCCACGACTTCCTGCTTTCTAGTGCATACTGGGGAAGTAGAAGGATTTTAGGGGTGTCATACCCCACCCCCCCTGATATGAAACAGCCAACCGATCCCGTTAGCTCGGTGGTCGAGTGGTAAGACGTTGGCACTAGAAAGCAGGAGGTCCTGGGTGCGAGTCCCACCCGAGTGATTTTTTTCCAACTTTCACTCGGGAGGTAATACACTGAGTATACAGTGTTTATACGTCGGTGAAGGGCAAAACCTAATTTGAGTGACTATTTTAATTTCAGACGATGCATCCACCCGGCCGACCCGTCTGCAGCTGATTCTGCAGGAACATGACAAGCAGATTGCAGGGCTCAGCGATAGTGAGCTACAAGAGAGCATTTTCCAGTTGCCCTACATCGCCATCTCCTACTTCAACGAGATGGGTGGAAGCCTATCCCTGAAGGAATACAATGTCCACCTGTACATCCCGCGTGACGCCCTACCCGCGGGAAGCCTTCAAAAGGTGTACATCTACGTCAACCCCAACGCGCCCCCCATTGATGGGTTGGGTGGACAAGACATTCCCCTATCCCCAATGATCCAGTGCGGTCCGACAGGGCTGCAGTTTCGAGACAGGGTGGTCTTGTCGTTTCCCCACCACGCCAAGGAGGGGACGGGATGGAATTTCTCCGCACACATTTGCAGCAACGACGAGGATGACTCAAAAACCTGGCAGGCTATGGATAGTCAGGACGACGGAATCTTGGTGTCGACTAAAAATCAGAAGGCCGTGCTACTGATGAGTCACTTTTGTGGAGCAGCTTTGACCAGCCAAGATCAGTCTGTCGCCAAAATAGTAAAAGTTGGGACATTTGGAGCTGACTTGGACTTAAGCGAAGACTGGTACCCTGTGCGGATTCACCTGTGGAATAATGATCCTGTGGCTGAGAAGGTACTGACTACTCTCTGATTTGATTTTAAATTGGGCTTTACTTTTCACCAAGATTATTTCCTAAACACTGTAAGTACTTACTGATGTCCAAGGGCTTTGTAAGAATATTTGCAAGCTCTCTCTGGTGGGACTCGAACCTTTGGGGGGAGAGGGGCAAAGAAATCATTTTTTGAGGGGGTGGGGGTTGGAAGGGAAGGCAACATAGAAAATCATTGACTGCGAAAATTTCAAAAGGGGGGTGGACATTATTTGGCGTTTGGGGGCGCTTTTCAAAACTATTCATATATACGTATTTATGTACGTTAAGCTAGTTTTAGGGCCATTTCTGAAGGTTTCCAGTCTGAGTCTTAAAATATGCATTGAATGTGCAGTAAAATATTGACTTTTCAGACTCTTCTTTTTTTTCCCTTCACCTTAATTTCTCTTTTTTCCTCGTTGTTGTTTGATTTTCTTGTGGTTTTCTTGGGGGGAGGGGAGGGGGTGACAACTGGGTGACAAGGTTGTTTGTCAACACAAATTAAAGTTTGGGGCTCGGAAAATTCTTGAAGTAAAAATGGAGTCAACTTTTTGGGTTTTAAACAGAATGTGATGGACACAGAATTGAGGCACGACGTCAGTTCCCAGCAACTGGATGTGCCACGAGACTTGGAAGTTGTCTTCAACCAGGGAGACGTGCAGGTTGAAATCGGAAACGTCTCAGAAGGCTGGCAAGCTGAAGACGCACAGGTATGCTCCCATCTGCTGTTATACCGGTACCTATTTTACATTTTACTACATTGTAGGGCCAATGATTTTCCGCGATCGCGGAAAACGGACGGAATTCGCGGAATCTGCTCTTCGAAACGGAAAAAGGAATTTGAATCTGAACAAAATAACTTCTGCAATTTCGTTGATAAAAAAAACACACTTTCATAAAATGTATCAAATACAAAACGAATTGTTGATGATTGATTGAACAGACGAGCCATATAAAAAATGAGTGATGTTTATATCACGATGTTGGTGGGACAAAAACGTTCAAGATCAGAGCAATAAATGTTACGAGATCATTACCGTTGTACGCGTGGTCATGGGAGTGACAGTTCCGACGCACGCCGTATGTAGCTGTCGGCCAGCGCACGGGTGAAAATCATCACACTCACGGCATGCTCTCGCGGGTCTCTTTTGCTCCATCGGCAGGTTTATTTTTCTCTGTGCAATCAATCCACCATTCGTATAACATCTAACTTTGGCTCTTTTGAAATGCATGTCGTGCTTAGGTCCAATAATCTACCGTAAACTATCCTATTTTTGTCGCTAACGTTAGCCCGAAAACAAAATGGCGGACATGAATTTCGCTTCAGCCAGCTGATGTGTGTGACATCATGGGATTGGCCTGTACAACTATTGCATGTTTCTCACGTGTGTGGCAGTGGCAGTGCAGTATACGACTTGACTGTGGCGAAGTTAAATACTACGTCTGTACATTGATCGGCCGTTGATAAAATAGCAATCTTTTTGGGGGCAATTTTCCTGCGCTCCAACCAAACGACTATTTCATTATCGTCTTGGAATTATTTTCTGTGTACATGGTATAGGCCTAATGTACAAGTATATAAAATGCCAATTTTTGTATTGGATGAATGTGAAACGGAATTTTTCAGCCTAAAACGGAATTTAGGATATTTGCAAACGGAATTTGCACTTTTCTGAAACAGAAAATCATTGGCCCTAACATTGTTTTCAAAAAAACCACAATGGGAAACTGACTAGGTGCACTATTACATATTTTTAGAGTTAAATTAAACAAAGAAATTGACTGGAGGGGGGTTTGAACCAGTGACCTACGGATTAGCATGCTGGTGCTCTACCAACTGAGCTATCCAGCCCCATGTTAGCGGTTCCCCAATTTGTATTGCATTGTATTGCATTGTATTTTTTCCCAGAAGAAGCCATGCAATTGCAACCATACATTGGTCGGGTAGTTTTGGGGCAGTACAGGGAGTAACAGGCAGGGCAGTTTAGGCGGTACAGGGAGTAACAGGCAGGGCAGTTTGGACAGTACAGGGAGTAACAGGCAGAGTGATTTGGGGCAGTACAGGGAGTAACAGGCAGGGTGGTTTGTGGCAGTACAGGGAGTAACAGGCAGGGTGGTTTGGGGCAGTACAGGGAATAACAGGCAGGGCAGTTTGGGCAGTACAGGGAGTAACAGGCAGAGTGATTTGGGGCAGTACAGGGAGTAACAGGCAGGGTGGTTTGTGGCAGTACAGGGAGTAACAGGCAGGGCAGTTTGGGGCGGTACAGTGACTGATCGGTTAAAGTGCCAGGGAAATGAGACTAAGTTGACTTGTTCTACTCTGGTAGAATTTGGGGTCTACCTTTTTTTCCCTGTCCATGTTACCGTACATCTGACCTCTCTTTTATGATTCTGATATCCTGTTGTGATTGAGTCCTCCTCCGAGAGTGATTATGAATAGCAAACTACCTGCCCAACAAATAAAACATTGTTTGAAGTCAACATTCTTAATGATACTTGAATGGTAAATTACAAAGAACCAAGGTAACAGGGACAGGATAAGGTAACTGGTCCTGTTTCCTTTTTTGAAATCCCTGATTGTTGAAATCACAAGTACATTGATTGGTAGTGTTGTAGTCAACTCAAGTCCCTCTAAGTTCAGTCACAAGTCGATCACAATTACCAGGGGATGAACAGAAAGGAAATTTGTCATAATTTATTTGAAAAGCTTGTGATTTGACTTGGAACTTGATGACTTTTGATTGACATGTGATTGACGTGTGACTGACTTGTGATGGACTTGTGATTGACTACTGACTTGTGATGGACTTGTGTTTGACTTGTGATGGACTTGTGTTTGACTTGTGATGGACTTGTGATGGAATTGTGATTGACTTGTGATTGACTTGTGATGGACTTGTGTTTGACTTGTGATGGACTTGTGATGGACTTGTGATGGACTTGTGTTTGACTTGTGATTAACTTGTGACATGTGTGATGGACTTGTGTTTGACTTGTGATTGACTTGTGTTTGACTTGTGATTGACTTGTGATTGACTTGTGATGGACTTGTGATGGACTTGTGATGGACTTGTGATGGACTTGTGATGGACTTGTGATTGACTACTGACTTGTGATGGACTTGTGTTTGACTTGTGATGGACTTGTGATGGACTTGTGATGGACTTGTGATTGACTTGTGATTGACTTGTGATGGACTTGTGTTTGACTTGTGATTGACTTGTGATGGACTTGTGATGGACTTGTGTTTGACTTGTGATTGACTTGTGATTGACTTGTGATTGACTTGTGATTGACTTGTGATGGACTTGTGTTTGACTTGTGATTGACTTGTGATGAACTTGTGTTTGACTTGTGATGGACTTGTGTTTGACTTGTGTTTGACTTGTGATGGACTTGTGATGGACTTGTGATTGACTTGTGATGGACTTGTGATGGACTTGTGATTGACTTGTGATGGACTTGTGTTTGACTTGTGATTGACTTGTGTTGGACTTGTGTTTGACTTGTGATGGACTTGTGATGGACTTGTGATTGACTTGTGTTTGACTTGTGATTGACTTGTGATGGACTTGTGATTGACTTGTGTTTGACTTGTGATTGACTTGTGATTGAATACTGACTTGTGATGGACTTGTGTTTGATTTGTGATTGACTTGTGATGGACTTGTGATTGACCTGTGATGGACTTGTGTTTGACTTGTGATTGACTTGTGATTGACTTGTGATTGACTTGTGATGGACTTGTTATGGACTTGTGATTGACTACTGACTTGTGTTTGACTTGTGATTGACTTGTGATTGACTTGTGTTTGATTTGTGATTGACTTGTGATGGATTCACTTGCAGTCCTGGTGATTGATTGTTTTCAGACAATTCTAAAGTCAAGGATTTGGAAGTACTGCACAAACTCAGTGACCTTTGACTTTGAAAGACAGTCGCATTGTGAGAAAAGTCTGCACTGCAAGGGTTACGTCTGCCAGGTCGGCCCACCAGAAGCTAGCAACGCAAGGACTGAAGACAAAGTCAAATTGCGCATCAGACCAAGAAGAGTAAGTGACAACCGATTCCAACTGGATTACCTGAGTTGCACCATAACAAATACATAGTGTGGACTCGGTACACACAAGTTGCAAATAGAGAGTTGGGGTGAGACCAACCTCGTCCCCAGGGTGTCGAACAGTACGCGCCCACCACTACCTGCTCTCTCACCCTGGTATTGGATCATTTGCATGTGCAAGATTTTTGAACACGTATGCAAATGAGGAACAGTCTGGTGCCTGGATATGTGTTACACATTAGCGTTTGTTTTTGTATGCGGTGTCTGGGGTAAAAACAGAGTCAATTCGTAGCAGCGCGAGTACGGCGTGAGTTACGAAAACACGATTTTTGAAATCAAACTGTTACGATCTTATCGAGACAACATGCAGTATCATATTTCATATTAATATGAGCAAATTAGAAAGGAAATTAGTATTTTCGAGAAGACGTGGACGAATGATCGCGAAAACACGTACTGCACGTTGTGAATAATAGCACCAAGTACATGATAAAAATCCATTACTAGCCAATTGCGGTATCCAATCAGGATACAGGAAGTTGCCTATCCAGGGTTTACTATTAGAAACGTGGTTGGAAACAAAGTAAGCACTGGGGACGAGGTTGGGGTGAGACATTCAAAGTCATGGACCTTTATTCATGTGGAAGCCATTTTCGATCGTGTTCCCTGAATGTACATGTATTTTATAAATTGTAAACTGGTGAATGGGATGGTGCCAGACTATTTACGCATTCCAAGCCTCACTTTCAATTCTGTTTTAAATGTGGCCTACAACATCATGGTATGCTTAATCACAATTTTTTAATTATTCATCAGAGCAGACTGGTAATAATTTGTAATTAACTTTACTTCATAGCTTTCATTTCTAGTCACAAGTTCCGAGAATGAAGATTTACCTCGCTTTCAATATAATATGGCTGACACGTGAATCAAGCCTATTGTTAATGGTCTCCGATACTGGAGTGTGATGGCCTAGCGGTTAAGAGTGTCATGGCCTAGCGGTTAAGAACACCGGACTCACGTTCTGGTGTTTCAGAGGCAACAGTGACGTGGGTTCGAGCCCGCCGGAGGACACTTGTGCTCTTAAGCAAGGCACTTAACCATTATTGCTCGTCCTTTGGATGGGACGTTAAGCCGTAGGTCCCGTGTGTTGTATAAATGCACGTAAAAGAACCCAGTAAACACTTATCACTAAGAGAAGGGGCTTGCCCCGGTGTTTCTGGCCTCCTGTATAAACTCCCACGTGGAGTATTTAGGAGAAAAACCAACCAAGAACCATACTCAAACGACAGATGCATCGACTTGTGCACTCTCAGAATTTGTTGTTCTTAATTAGCGCCATGCATCCATGGACCAGTATGTGCATGTGCCTCCGAGTGGAGGTTTTGAAAGTGGTAGAAAAGCGCTACATTTTTGTACATGTACTGTCCATGCCCGGAGTCCATGTACATTGTACTACAGGAGCGACTCGGGTTGTCCCTTATATGCACTAAATTTCCAGTGACTTGACTCTAGAGTCATTCAGAATGATGTCAACAATTGATCATCATTTTGGGTAGCTAATGCGTAAAGTGCTCGTCTCTCACCACTGGAGCCCTGGTTTGTTCCCGGGCAGGACCATATGTGAGTAGAGTTGTGCGTTGGTTCTCTCCTGTGCCAAAAAGGGTTTTTCTTTGGGCCCTCCGGTTTTCCTCCATCCCCCCAAAAACCACCAAACACTTTTGCTCTCTGGCTGTGCTCCGTGGTCATACATGTACTGATCGTATGGCTGGCTGCCAAAGGCCCCTACATTGTATACAATGCCTGCGGCTCGACCATGTTGTGGCCGCGTCCTTCGCAATTCAGCTTCTCAGCTGCGAGTAAAGGATGATTAGCCTCCCAAATTATTGTTATCAATATTATTTATATATATTTTGTTTGTAATTGTTTCAAAAGTTGCAATTAATCATAGTTACAATTTATAAGTTATGTATTTCCGGTCTGAAGACGATGTTGCTGCTGATATTTTTCTGACTGATACACGTGTAAATTTTCCCTTCAACTTAAATTAGTATTATAAAGTGTCTCCTTTCAGACAATTCATAGTATGTGTCGGTGCACGCTTTATTGACGGTCCTGATTCATTGCATTATATTTTACCAGACAAAGAATGTAAAACCAGACGAGAATGAGATGAGAGTCCAAGACCAACCCTCTGCTGATTCCAAGGTATCAGTTGTCGCTAACCTTCAATGTGTTGTAATTGTTGATTTTTTGTTGTTTAAAAAAGTTGGCATTAACACTGTGAAAGCCAAAGGATAAGGAAATTAAGTACTATAGTTGTATATAATCAAAACAGTATGAACTACATGTATGTTTGTACCTGGGTTTTTTCGGGAAAAAATGTCTGAGATGTGGGTTTCATTTCAGAAATCTGTTTAACCCTTTCTTTACCATGGGCGACTTTTGTCGACAAGAAGAACCCCCCTGCTGGTTCCCATGGGCGACTTTAGTCGACCAGGAAACCACACACAGAACACCCTCAACACAGATATATTCACTACTATTCAGAAAGGCGGCATGTTGATATGTTTGGCCGTCCATACATCAACCATATACCAGCTGAAAGAGTGTTTTCGGATCGTTCTAATGGTGTAGTTTATTCATAGTGTTGCCATTACAAACAAATGAGAAAAGTGCTTCAGAAGTATACACGCACAAAATGAGGTATGGAGTGCCATTTGGTCATGTGGTGAAGTGTCTTGCAGTTTGATAAATGGAACCAGATGAACAAATAGGCATAACATTCTTATATTTAGACATATGGACTACATTTTTACATCACATAAAAGAGTAAGGTTCAAGGAACAAACTTTACACACAACACTTACGATTTAAATCACTCCTTGGCAGTGAAAATCTGGGTTGAAAAAAGTGAGTTTTGGACTTGTGGTCATTTTGTTCACGCTCTAGTGATTTCCGCATGACTGAGCAAACAGTTTGGTCCTGGGGAGAGCCAAGTCAATAAACAATGTGGTAATGAAAGGGTTAATACCATTTCAGACATTGAATTTAATTTGTTTACTGTGAGTTTAACATGAACAAGAGGGAGGATCCATGTATAGGCCTTTCTGTATTGATGACTGGCCAGTATATTGTAACTAGGCTCCTAAGATGTCATGAAAAGCCCTAATTTTGTCCTGGAAAAGTCATGAAATAGTCATGGAATTTTGTTTCAAGATTTGTCATGGAAACCAGAATACATTATCATTATTCAATATTTTTTGTTTCAATCAAGGAAAATCTGGACGGGGCAAGAGTCAAGAAGGAGCCCGGAAAGATGTATGGAGATTACGGTGGCTTATCCCCGCAAGCCCTTCAAGACATAGGCAAACGTCTTGAAGCAGGTGACGGCGCAGACCAGCTCACTGATGAGAGCTTGACCGGTGCGCGGCTGATTGCAATGATCTCCTTCATGGAAGTCTTCAAGCTGTTCTTTGCCGACCAACGAGCGAGCCAAGTTTCAGATAAGGATGCGGTTAAAAGCCTGAGGCAGACACTGAAGCGCAAAGGATTTGAGGTTTCTGAGATGCTTTGGGAGGAAGGGTTGGAGTCAGGTAATACACGAATACATAATGTATAACCATAGGCGTCGCCAGGATTTTTTTTAGAGGGGGGCAAAAAATTTTTTTGCCAAAAAAAGCTTGTATTTCTCAACACATTCTCGATTTATCAGTTTTAGAGGGGGGCAGGGACATTTTGCCCCCCCCCCCAACTCATTAAATTTACACCACTTTGTATTCGCGCCTCTTTTTCTTTCTTTCTTTTTTTTTTTTTCTTCCTTTTTTTTTTTTTTTTTTTTTTGCTTTTCCAGGGGGGGGGGGCAAGTGCCCCCCCCGTGCCCCCCCCTCGCGACGCCCATGTGTATAACATGGCTTGAGTGAAAGAAGTGTGCAATTACTGGTCCTGAGGCAGTGTTGCAGTAATCGTACTTGTCACTCGTACTCGAGTACATTTTGAGAATGCTCATACATGTACTCATACTCGCACTGGGATCTCAAATACTCGGAGTTGAATTCCCGGTACTCGTACCCGAGAAGCAAAATACTTTTACTCAACTATTCAAAATCGTACTCCATCATCAAAGCACTTGTACTTGATTATAAGGACTCGGGGGAAAAATTGAAAATTACTTTTTGAATAAACACAATCTCACTCGGAGAGGCACGCGTGCTCCCTACTGTGGAGATGACTGATTTCCATTGTGTTGGTATTTGCACAGACTTCATGTGTCCTCTCGTTATATGACCGGTCTCTTTGTACTACATGTACCTGACTACCGGTCAAATGTTTTCACTTGGAGTACTCATTATTAAAGTACTCATACTGTACTCGTACTTTCACTCGGAGGTCCAAGTACTTGGACTCGGCATTTCAAAAATTATACTCGATAATCTTCAAGACTAGATAGGTACCAGATAGCTTGGTACTCGCGAGTGCTTTGTACAATGTACTCACATACAAGTATTGAACCACAACACTGTCCTGAGACATAGTTTAGGCTTATTTGACTACCTCGCAAAACAAAGACACCAAAGTCTGAAAAACATTTATTACACCTGTTCATTAAAAAATGAGACCAGTTTTCTGCAGCAGCTTAAGATCAATGCAGTATGGTCTCTACCCTTAAAGGTTACCCCATTGATACTCCTGGGTGGAGAGAGGCAATTGTAGTAAAGTGTCTTGCCCAAGAACACAATCACCATTTTCTCTGTTAGGGTATGAACTCATACCATGGCATATGAGCAAGACTTAACCATTAAACCACGATGCCCCATGCTCCACACTGCTCCAAAACAAGATGTTCTTCTGATGAGCCGTTTTTCTTTGATTGGACGCATTCCTCCAAGAACCGGCTGTCTACATTTATATTCAACTTCAACATTGTTTTATAAAACTGATCTTGTAATCAGGTTAATTTTTTTTCTTTAGATTCAAATCATAACAAGAGGGATTCAAGAAGTCTGTCCGAAGATGTGGCAAGTGTATGTAAAGACAATAATGTTACTTAATTAATCACAAATAATACAGTAAATTCATTGAAGATGGTTTCATAATAAAGTGTGGCCACAGGTACCTTTTTTTTACATGCATGTCCAATATGGAGTCCAGTTAGGTAACCCAAAAAGATATTCCATATGTTTTGTCTATTTTCTCAGAATGCATAGTATCCAGTGAACTGAAACCTCAACAGCTTTATGCAAACTGCGTAAGATTTTTAGCATTTCGGTTGCTTCCAATGAGAAAATGTCTGCTGTTTCATGTTTCAGTCAGAGATTGCCGAGCAGCAACGGTTATGGAAACTTTCTCGACAGTTGGAAGCAGAATGGGAAGAACTGGCAACGTATTTGGGAATAACGAGTGCAGAGTTGTTCAGGATCAAGTCTGATCATGCAGGCAATGTAGGAAACCAGATGCACGCGATGCTGGACCTGTGGTGGCGCAAAGGCAGACCTGATAGTGAACTTGTCGAAGCACTGCGAGAGGTTGAACGACATGATTTGGCAGAGCAGGTGCAGGAGCATCAGCAACAGCAGCAGGAACAACAACAGCAGCAGCAGCAACAGCAACAGCCGTTGAATGGTAACACATTCCATGAAATTGTAAGGATGGACTCTTTTGATTTAGACTTGGCATGACATCATACTGAATTCATCATCCGTGCTGTGAATCATCTTTAAACAGAAAACTTATTAGTAAAGCCTTGGTGATCCAACTATCCTTCCATCAAATCAAGTCAGAAATCTCGGCATTATCTTTGATTCATCTCTATCCATGGAACCTCACCTCACAGCAATCTCTAGATCGGCCTGCATGTCGATCCGTAACATGGGACACATGCGAAAATATCTTGACAAACACACAACTGAAATACTTGTTCATGCTTTCATCACATCCAAAATTGACATGGGCAAATCACGATTGTACATTGTATATACTTGTTCACGCTTTTATCACATCCAAAATTGACATGGGCAAATCAGAATTGTACATTGTACGGCATTAACCTAAATCGACTAAACCGTTTGCAGGGACTACAAAACATCAGTGCCAGACTAATCTCTCTCACTAGTAAACATTCTCACATCACTCCTGTACCAGAATTTGAGTTGCTGTTCACTGTTCACTTGTAGTGCAGCTTAGTGATTAGGAATATCAACCACACCTCCATCAAAGTTGTAGTTGAAAGTTTCTTGGTTGCCATGTTCACATCATGATGCGAAAGAAAGCTCGCAGAGGAGATGTGGCAAGTTCATTGAGAATGTTCTCCTCTTGTGATATGAGGAGGGCGCTGTAACATGTCTTGACGCGCGTCTAGTTCACGCTGGCGCAAATTTCATGCACTAGCCTAGATTAGTGAATCACACATGACCGCGTTTCAGCCAACCAGGATAAAGAACCAGCAATAGGCGTGTTATGATACCAAATAGTGCACAGCAAATATATTTGTTGATGAGTGAATATCATACGGAAAGCAGTCAGAAGCATGCACATCACATGACATTTTAGCTGATAACTTATAATTGCGTTGATAAACGTTTCTGTGCTGAGCAATTTTGTTTAGTAAGCAACTCCATCAAAATGGAAATTTAGTTTTGACAAATTCAAGAGAATTTTTAAAAGCAAAATTTAAAATAGCTAATAACAGCTCATATGTTCATGCTATACGAATAAGAAACAGGTTTGTGATGTGTTTTTGATTATTATAATGGCAGTTGCCCATAATAAGGCATAATACAGTGGAACGCCGCTATAAAGAACATCGCGGGATCCACAGAAATTGTTTGTAATAGCGATCGTTCGGTATAGCGATTTTAAGCTGCCGGTGTTCCGGTTCTCACTCTTCAATAAATAGCGCCCTTTGTTTAGAACTTCACCCTGAACACGCTGGTAGTTTCTGAAAGACGACTTTCAACATGTGCGGACTATTGAATCATGTAAGTTACACAGGTTTTTAGCTTACTACATGTACCTACAGCAATGGGAGGCTTTCGGGTCATTCCGTGTCAAATCAACACGCTTTTGGACCCGACCCTCACAGATTGAAACAATATTTGGTGTGATGATTGGCCTATATGAGAAACCCCCAGAACTGAATTTTTTTGTAAATTGACTCGTTAGTTTTTGAGATACGGGTCAACAAACTTTTGACTAATTAGCATGACCTCCGAACTTTAAATACTTGTATCTCAAAAACTATAGCGCCTACAAAGCCAAGTTGTACATCATATTAAAGTTCTTTGAATGGCCTCCATTTCATAAAATAAAACCAAAATCGTAGCATGAAGTGCAGAGAAAATGCGTAACAAAATGACCTTTGACCTCAAATTACGAAAAACAATATGCTTCAAATTTTGTAATTTTTTTTCAAATGTTAGTTTATGATGTCAGCAACAATCTTAAAAAAAATTGGGATGGGCGGTCTTAAAGTTTTTAAGTTATGATTTTTTTGAAGAAAGCCTGTCCATGAAAAAGTATGCATAATATTAAATGTACATGTACATGTACATGTACATGTATATGTATACATTGTACTTGTACTGTGTACATGTGCACATTTTACCTGTGCATCATGTTTGCCCTTTACAACCGCATAGTCTCAACTCATATCCAAGTCAGGTGTGTTTACAAACACAAATGCCCCGCAATTGTGACTGTTCCCATGACATAACACCACTCTTTTAACATCAACTTACACGTACGTACCTTGGTCACATGGAACGTTCATTGACAGCATTAGTGTCTTCTGTAGGTTTTATATGAATTAATCCCTAATCCCTATGATCTCAGAATAAATACAAGATTTTTATTGTTTAAGCCACTGTGACCTTGACCCTTGACCTTTGGACCCCAATGCGATAGGCCTATTTGGATTACCAAGAACGATCCACAAACCAAATTTGAAGTTCACATGTAAAGTATTTCTCAAGTTATCGCACTAACAAAATTTCTTTTGTTTTAGTCAGTGTTGTAGTCGAGACCGGATAGTCCGAGACCGAGACCAAGACCGAGACCTGAAGATTCGAGACCGAGACCGAGACCAGCCCCTTCAAGGCGGACCGAGACCGAGACCAATATGGTCCGAGACCGAGACCGAGACCGCTGATAATAAATAACAATAGTCGAAATAAAAAAAACAAGACACGTTATTGTAGTTGAAAAATGTAACCTTTCTATTCACAAAGAATACAGACCAAAATTTTGAACAGTGGCAGTGTTGACAAATTGAAACAAAACACCTTACTTGTGCAAAAAGTAGTTACACTTAAGAAATATGGGCTTTGACATGTTGTCTGCACCCAATCGTGACAAAAGTAAAAAGTTAAAGGTAGATGTTTCATCTGTTATAGGAACTCGGATCCTAAACTCCACAGTCACCCCTTGGTCTCAGCTATGACTTCTAACGGATATTTAAAGATGCAATTTTAATTTTACATTGCCTCTTTTTTCCTAAAATAAATTTAGGACTTGTGTACTTGATTTGAAAAAATGGGAGCTAGAAAATGTTGAATTAATTTTTAAATTTCTGTCATAGAATGTGGACTTGTAAATATAGACCCACAAGTTGCGAGGTGGTAGCCAGAATGTGCCAGATATGGATTTTAAATTTTTTTCTGAACGGGATTTTAATTTTTGAGGAATAATGGGGTACTTCAAAATATAAAATGGGGTCTCATCATACACTATCATGGCAACAGTGAGTGGTAACTGGTAAGAGTGTGTGAGTTCAAAGCTGGAAAATCAGGTAGAAAAATTTACTTTTGCTTCAAAATACTGTCCCAAATTAAAGAGAACATTGTGTGGGGTCGAAAATATAACTAATTTGAAGCACCTCATTTATTATCAGAATACAAAATGCAAGTGATTACGCCCACAGGGGTGGGCTAAACTACACAATCCCCGAAAATGGTTGACCCTTATTGCATAAATTGTTACAAGTTTATACTTTGCTTTATGTGGCCGACTCAACAGATAAATGCCGAACTTGTTCCAAATCGTTCAGTGACTGGTACTGCTGCAGCTTTACATGTACTTTCCAACGTGCAGTCGAGTCCAAACCGACCGCTATATATAACAAGCTTGATCTACGGGCTAGCAAATGTTTTAAATAACAACGGTACAGAACGAAGTGAACACAAAGTAATCGATCGAGCTGTAAAAGCTACATATTACCGGTCTCGACCCGAGACCGGCCAAAATATCGAGACCAAAGGGGGCCAAGACCAAGACCGAGACCACAGCTTCCGAGACCGAGACCAGCAAAAAGTGGTCTCGAGACCGGTCTCGAGACCGAGACCGGTCTCGAGACCTACAACACTGGTTTTAGTCACTGGGACCTTGACCCTTGACCTTTTGGCCCCAAATGCAAAAGGGTTCTTAGGATTACCAAGAACAATACACAAACCAAATTTGAAATTCATATGTTAAGTATTTCTCAAGTTATCGCGCTGACAAGATTTGTCCGGACACACACACACACCCACACACCCACCTACACATCCACCCACCCACCCACCCACCCACCCACCCACGGAAGGACAAGGCGGAAACAGTATACCCCTTCGGCTTCGCCGCGGGGCATAAAAATATGTTAAAATATGTTATACCGGTCTACGTTACTTTCATTTTTCACTCAACCAAAGTCTGTGTTGCAGTGTTCATCTCCTCGGCGGAGATCTTGTATACGCGTCCTGTTTCAGTGAACGGTTCCACTGCTGTTAGTACATCCTTGCCATGAATTACAAGTGTGTCTGGTCGATAGGGGAACTTGAAAGATGGAGATGGCCCATGGGGATGAAGAAAACTCAGTTCCACTTCTTGGGATGCTGGAAGGATCTCCTGAACACATGCTAGCCACCAGTAACAGTCATACATCACTGTAACATACCCCTTGATATCTGCAAAATCAATACATGCAGTTTGTCCATGGACTTGGAGGCAAACTGGTTCCTCCCTTGAGTCTGAGGAGGAGGAAAAATCAAGCACCTTAATATTGTCTTTAGACATCGGACAAAAACAGTGCAGCTTTTGTGTTCCTAGAATGGTACGTGCAATTTGGAATCTTTGCCTGAGAATATCCGCTTCATTCTTCATCTCTCGCCGAGGAGATGAACACTGCAACACAGACTTTGGTTGAGCGAAAAATGAAAGTAGACCGGTATAATATATTTTTTATAAGTAATTTTGTTCTGCCCTTAATATATATGAGTTGAGACTATGCGGTTGTAAAGGGCAAACATGATGCACAGGTAAAATGTGCACATGTACATGTACACAGTACAAGTGTACATGTACATGTTTACTTGTACATGTACATTTAATATTATGCATACTTTTTCATGGACAGGCTTTCTTCAAAAAATCATAACTTAAAAACTTTGAAAGCGCCCATCCCAATTTTTTCTTAAGATTGTTGCTGACATCATAAACTAACATTTGAAAAAAAATTACAAAATTTGAAGCATATTGTTTTTCGTAATTCGAGGTCAAAGGTCATTTTGTTACGCATTTTCTCTGCACTTCATGCTACGATTTTGGTTTTATTTTATGAAATGGAGGCCATTCAAAGAACTTTAATATGATGTACAACTTGGCTTTGTAGGAGCTATAGTTTTTGAGATACAAGTATTTAAAGTTCGGAGGTCATGCTAATTAGTCAAAAGTTCGTTGACCCGTATCTCAAAAACTAACGAGTCAATTTACAAAAAAATTCAGTTATGGGGGTTTCTCATATAGGCCAATCATCACACCAAATATTGTTTCAATCTGTGAGGGTCGGGTCCAAAAGCGTGTTGATTTGACACGGAATGACCCTTTCTCCATCTATTCCTTGGGGAAATAATAGCCACTTTTCCCTCTTCGGTTGACATTTTTCAACAACAATGTTCGGTACATTTTGCACACAAAATTCTGGAGCTGAGGACAATGTTTGGTATAGCCGAATGTTCAGTGTAGCGATGTTCCACTTTTGATAGGGATGATAGTTAAGTCCATCACAAGACTTGAAGTCCCTGCAAGTCCTCCATCCAGTCCCAATTCAACTCACAAGCTACTCCAATGAGCTTTGACAAAGGCATTCCTTTGTTACTGTTCATCCATTCTTACCTGTGACTTGACTTGTGATTTCGTCGGGTGCGTGGAAAGTCTTTTGGGTGAAAAATGGGTCAAAGGGTCAAATTCAGATTTTTCTGGCAATCAGTACAATCCTTACCTTTGATATACATTTTGTTGCGGAAGTGGGTATGCAAAGCCATGTTTATTCCCAGCAAAAGGACGTGACAATTAAGGCAGCGGGAGTTCCCTGTAAAAGGTTGTTGGCATAAAAATGTAAATAACTTCAAAATTGCGTAATACTTTGAAATAAAAATGCACAATATTATTTCATCAAATTAGGTTTTGCCCTTCACTGAGGTATAAACCACTGTATACTCAGTGTGTTACCTCCCGAGTGAAAGTTGGAAAAAATCGCTCAGGGTGGGACTGGAACCCACGACCTCCTGCTTTCTAGTTCAGATATCTTACCACTCGACCCCCGAGCTAACGGGATGGGTTGGCTGGTTCGAAGGGCAAAACCTAATTTGATTTACATCACCCCGACGCAAAAGAATCCATCTTAAGAATAATATTATTTCAATTATTAACAAATTTCATGAGCCCAAATTTCAGCCTTATGTGGTTTTCAATTTAGAAATGGGAGCAAGAAAACCTTTCAAATCAATGTTTTTTGTGTGCCTGGGCTGCTAACTTCCAATTCCATGGCACACGACGATGTACTTGTGAGTGGACTTGTGACGGACTCGACTCCATTCCTGCTTATTTTGTAGCCTAGAAAACCAAAATACTGAGACTTGTGAATTATGTGCGAGTAGCAAAACACACAAGGCATGGGTCTGACCGTCGTTTTTAATTAAATTTGCCGCTCCAGGAATAAAGAAAATGCGAACTACCTTCAGCTCGGAGGTCACAAAGCCAGACCAATTAGCCAGGGTCGGATTTTGAAGGAGGGTGAGTGCAGTGACTAGAACTAGTGTTTGGTGATGCAGATAAACCACCCGGATCTGAGGATGTATTGCTTCAAGGCTAAGATATCCCTTAAACAAAACAAGGATTTGATCACCGTTGAGCTCTATCTTATTAACCCTAACCCTCCTCAATCCTCCAAAATCCTCCTACTGGCTTTGGATGATTTTAGAGGATTGAGGATGAATTTAAAAGATGTATCGCTTTTTTGTGGAGGATGCATTACGTCAAGCCAGTAGGCCATATCCTGCATTGGTTATGTTCAGCCATGCATAAATCAGCCCTGTGTTTGTCTCGTATTTCATCCGCACCGCTTCTAACTGCCATTCACACTGCCTCAAACCATAGCAGTAATTGGCAGAGGATTTTGGAGGATTGAGGCATTGGTCACCCTCCACAGACTAAATTCAAGAAATAACGGATGATTTTGGAGGATTGAGGCTGAATCCATTTTTTTTTTGTGGCGATTGGAGGATTTTGCAGGATTGAGGTTGCATCCTAGCCAGAGGGCCTAGGGGGTTATTAAGCAATTTCATAGAGCTGCTTAAGCACAAAATTTGCTTAAAGGGAATGTACATCATTGGCTTTTGCTGTAATTTTCAGCAATGGAGTATTCGGGTTAGAATAATATATCAAATATTGTTACACTGACATGTTTGAAGTTTTATGTTCGAATATGCTGGAAAAACCAAGAAAAACAAAATTGTTCAAGTAGTCTGGTTCCCTGACTCCACTAAAATGAAATGGATCAATTTATAGTTGCCAGAAAATTGTAAGGTAAGGGAACCAGTGTAGCTGGCCTGCACCCGTTCATAAACATGTAACCAATACCAAACAAAATTTGGACTGAAAAAGGGTAAATTTGGAGCAGTAGTTGAAATATAGTTAGGTTTTTCCAATGGTGGTCGGAAAATGTATACAAAAATACCATTTTCCTGAAAATGACTTCACACCAGGTGCCATAATTTTACAGGATGCTTTAGACTGTCATTTACCAACATCCTAGTAAGGTATTTCTTAAAAACTTGGTAGTTTTATTTTTCGATTTTTGCAAATGTTGTATATTCCCTTTCAGCACAAAAAAAACCCCTTGCTTATTATAATTGGGTTACCGGCCCAAACTCCATGCGATGTGCATTGCTTGTGACTGGTATTTAGCTGTTGTTTACTTAGCATAACAATCACATGGAGTTTTGGTGGTGAACTGATTATATTAAGCAGAGTTTTTTTTTTGTGCTGAAGCAAATTTTGTGCTTAAGCAGCTCTATGAAATTGGGCCCATTTTGCATGTTTTGAGCTGGAAAATGTAATGAATTTAAAACCAAAGTAATTAACTTTGTATATTTTCATTTGCTTTTTCGTGTGTTTTCAGGTTTCCACCGTGCTATGAAGGAAACCATTTTAAATACAGGGCGAGTCAAAAAGAAAGTGACCTAATGAAAAAAAAATGTTTTGTAAAACGTGTGGCTAGCTCCATTTCATAGAAATAACATTAGGATTAAGTACATATTATTGACTAGTAACTGTGAAACTTTCATGTAATTTGAGTACTACATGTATGTTCACAGGTTATGTCTATTTTAATACAAACATCAAAAAATTCAGCTGTCCACCGATGATCATTTACCGTTCAAATACAATAAAATAAGGACGTTTTTCAGCCTTTATGAATGAATTACAATTTGCAAAGGAAAAATATTTTCTCATATGAATAGTACAAAATCTGACAGTAAAAATAATTTTTCAGTTTTGTCAAAAATTATAAAAAATCTCACTTGTATTTGAATGCCTGTGTGTAATCTCTGGTTCGCACTCAGCTCAATAGCTTCAATTGACATTCCATGGACAGTTGTAATAATGGATTATTTTAATAAAATATGCATTACTTCTGAAAGCATGGGTCAATTTCAGTAATTTTTTTTTTTAAGTGAGGAAGAACATGCTTCTCTAATATATGCTTCGTTGGTGTAAAAATTTAATTGCTTTGAAGGGGGAAAATCATTAATCCAGGTCACTTTCATTTCGACTCGCCCTGTATTCTGTTTTAAACTTCTAAATTTATATTTAAACCAAATGAATTAAAATTGCCTTATCTTGCGGAGCAAATCACTACTCTGAATCAAAATTTAATCCATTACGTAATCATTGTCCAACGCTGTCTTTATCTTGCTGATGATTCAACCTATTGTTATCAGTACCATTTATCGTAGTATTCATGTCCTTTGTCTAGAATAAGTGCAATAACCTTGCGGCCATAAGTTTTGGGTCCAAAATGTAAAAGAAACATCGGGTACCGGTCTCTATTTCTACACATCTCTCCATAGTCTGCCACCAGACTACTGAAGAGGTCATCAGTCTTTTCCAAAAGTTGGACGTGTACAACTAATTAAAGGCTTCAAATTGAAATCACTTGGCATCACTTTCAGGTGTAATATATTGAAGAAGAGTCTCCTTAAAAAAATTGAATTCAGACCTCAAACCTGGCTGGTGAAATACTGAGGACATAGTTTGCCTCCTTAAAAAATTTGATGAATTTTGTGTGCTAAAGAGTAAGTAGAGTTTTGAATTTGTTTTGCATGTTTTCTGCACTCAATGTCCCAGTTTCTTCTCTGCGAGCGACATTAGCAATGCTTAAATCAATGTACATTTTTAATATCACGCTTGCCGTTAATTAATAGGTCATAACTGAAAAGTTACTAAATTCCATATTTTATTTGCCTATCGTTAACTTCCTATTTACTATTTATGGGTCTGATCGATTATTACCATCAAAATGGCGGAAAGTCGGGCGGAAAGTCGGCCGAAAAGGTACACTATTGTCGTGGGAGACATTTGACACGCTTTACATTATTTTGTGGTCCTTTTCAATGGTTTACCTCATTTTGAATATGGGCACATTGTAGCTTAAAGAGGGTGACCAGATGAAAATCTCAAATCTCTGCTAGATGCATTTCAAAACTCTACAAGATTCTATGAAAATCTGCTTAGTCGCCATGAATTACACAATTAAAATGCACAAAAAACGAAGGCCAAAAAAAAAAAGTTCTGCTTCCGGTTTTCCTAAGCTACCTACCCTATTCTGACAGCCCCTACCATAATATCTTTATTGGAAAAATGAAAAAATTAACACCCAAAACCATAAATTTCTACATTTTACCCTTGACTACACGCAGAAACCTCCATCGTACACAAAAAAAAAACGATTGCCAAAAAAAGTTCCTTACCTACCTATACCCTATTTTCAAATGCCATGTAATCGGAAGCAGAAATATATATTTTGTTTTGGCCTAACAATACAGCCTGTCAAATGTTGATACAGCACGCATAGTACTATATTTACGTTTGAACCAGGGCGACCAGATAAAAAATCGCACGATTCTGTTGGATGCACTTCAAAATTCTGATGGGGGGGGGTGCACAAAACATTCTCAGATCTAGCAGAAACTCTGCCAAAACGGTCACACAGAGCTTAAACATGACGTTACAATTGAAAAGGACCGTTGTGTTTTGATGCCACAAAGTGTCTCAAACGCCTCCCATTATTGGTTCAACAAAAAATTTGTATAATGAGCATGATATGGGTGCACACCTGTAAATAGGCCAAAAATCCTTCCGCCGAGCTCATGAATAAATGTTATACCCGCAAAATATTCTATATTAGAGAGTTTTGGAGTTATAAAATTGGGAAATTGAAGAGATATGGTAATGGCCCGGACTTGTGGCTTCCAATTCTGAGCATTTTGGATGCTATTTTCCGCTTTGGGGAAAATAGGGGTCGTCTTCTTTGGGTGAGAATATCTCGAAAAGTCAATGGTCAACCCACCAAAAAATGAAAAGAAAATGAAAGATGACATGTTGATCATCATTTTTCTGTGCAGCTTGAACACCTGTGAGAGTTCTGAGTATTTTTAAAAGAATTTTGAAGTATGCGCATTTAGCACAAGTGTCTATGCGATTTTGTTTGCAGGGTTGCACCCTGTATAGTTTGGGTGTCTGTTTATCAGAAGTTTAGCTGGTCTTTTTTGGACGTTACAGTGTCACTCGTTCAGTTTTCCTTGCCTATATATATTCCATGTATTGGCCTTATTTGCTTTCTCCATATTTGCTTGAGTAGAGCTAGAACGTGTTATTTTCTCATCTTTGCTGTTAAACTAAATATAGCGCAGTGTGAACGACACTTTACCGCCACGTGCATGTAATACTGTTTGCTATTTACGGGTTGTTTACCTTTAGTGTTCTGCTATCGACACGTTACACCCAATAACGTTCACGATTCGTATAGTTCACGTCAATCCAGTCAGTAATAGTTTACAGCAGCTGTTTACTTCTCTTGTTTGGAACAAAAATATGATTTGAAGCCTGTAAGAGAGATAAACTGAAGGACCAGTATAACAACACTGCAAGATACACTGTATCTATAGACTATTATGATTGGTACGTAATAAGAAGACAAGTCGTGAGAAGAACCGGGAGAACCCAATGTAAAAAAATGACTTTTATTTCTCACATTTTCTTCTGATTCGACAATCTATAATGGCCGGTTCATACTCAACGCGAAAAGCGAAAACGGTAATACCTGCGCTTTGAAATTCACCGGAGTTGAAATGTGTTCAACTCTTGCGAATTCGCACCGCGAACATTTGCCGCGACGTACGTCACCGCGTTCGCTTTCACGCCGAGTATCGAACTAGTCTATAATGCCGTGGTCTATTTTGCGTGAACAGATTTGCTGATTAATTAGGCAAGACCCCGCCTCTTGACCTCCTAGGTTTTGACCAATCAGTGAGCGCTTTCTATATCGGGTCTTCGGTCATTCACCCGTTGTGCGTCAAAGACAATGGATAAGATTTAAAAAAAAAAAAAAAAAAAAAAAAAAAGGGGTCACGCGCTCTGTATCATGTTACGCGATATCGCGCCCGGCTGTTGTATTATTACAAAACACTGCAATTCGAATTGACCAATCAAACAATGTAGTCCTGATTTAGGAATGAAATGATGTCACGATTCGATTGGCGGGCGCGCGGCTTGCATAAATTTGCATGTCAGGAGATGTCAGACGTTCTCCAGGATTTGGCTCCGTGGATAACGGGTGATACTCGGACTAAGTGTGAACCGGCCTGAACTCCAAATAACGTATCCATTTGCTTTTTCGCATGTTTTCAGGCTTTCATCTTGCCACAAAGGAACGTGTGTTAATTATTTTGTTTTCAGTTTCTTAAGTTCAATTTAAAACCAAAGAACTAAATTTGCCTTATCGTGCTGAACCAATCTCTACCACATATTCTAATCCATTACTTTATCTTTGTAAATCCCTTTTCGTTAACTTACTGATAATTCAACCTATTTTATCAGTACCATTTTACTTAGTGTTAATCCTGTGCTTCGTTTGGAATAAGCGCAGTAACCTGGCTGCCATAAATTGAGGGTCCAAAATGTACGCTTCCCTGCCACAGCTCCCCATCTATATAACTCCTGTTCCTGTCAGACGAGAAGCTCTTTAATATTCAAATCACTAAAAAAAAGAAACTGACAAGATGACATTTGGGTGGTTTTTTTTTTAGTTGAACAAAGTAATTGACCTGCCACCTCCGGATTTGCCGTTCCGGTGCTCTATCCTGCCCTATGTTTGCGGCCCCCATTTTGTCTATGTATTGGTTCAGGGGCGCTATATAGCCAGAAACCTTCCATGTAGTCAGGGATCACGCCCAAAGTCATGGTGCTAGCAACATTAGCAATGCTTAAATCAATGTACATGTATATTTCAAGATATCACGCTCGCCCTTAATTTATCGGTCATAACTTAAAGTTACAAAAATCCACGCTGTGTTGTCCTATCGTTTTGCTCCTTACGTACCTCTTATGGGTTTGATCATTATCATAAAGTAGGTGACAGTCGGCCCAAACCTATAGGTACATTACGCTGAATTGTAAATTATTGGTTTAACCAAATCTGTATGAGCATGCTACAGTTCGGTGTGTTTATCTGAATGTTAGCTGGTTTTGTTTGGATTTTTACCCGCAAAGTTTTCTCGGCCTCTATATATATTCATGTACATGTATTAATTTATGTTCTCCATACTTGCTTGAGTAGAGCTAGAACGATTTTGCCTCATCACAAATTATTGGCTGATAAATGAATAAAGCGCACCTTGCTTCCACGTGCATTTACTAAACTGTTGTTCTGAAGTATGACTTTCTTTAGGTTTGTTTGCCTTTGACAAAATGATCTGCTATCGACACGTCACACTGCAAAAACTGTAGTGTTAATTTAACACCATTCGGTATCTATATAGGACAACACTAGTAAAATTTAACACCAGATGGTCCTATGTAGATACCAACAGTGTAAATTTAATACTGCAGTTTTTGCAGTGCAGGCCCAGTAACGTTCACGTTCGAACACTTCACGTCAATCCAGTCAGTAATAGTTTACAGCAGCATTTTATATCTCGAGATAAAAATATGATTGAAGCCTGCACGGTGTGCGTGAAAAAACGAGATTCAAATGTCTGGCCCATTGTTTTAGTGAAGTTCTGCATGTAGCACTTTCAAAATCTAGGATATGAAAGCCCAATTCCTAAGCTTTCTTTTAGTACAAGAATCATTCAAATCACTCGTGTACCTTTTCAAGTTACGGAATTTTCAGAACTTTAAAACGCCACTTAAACAATGGTCCCGACATTCGGGTTTCGCTTATTTTGACTCGCACTGTAGAGATAGATGAACTGAAGGACGTTTCCAGTATAACACTGCAAGATATCTACATTGTATGGACTATTTTGAATGGTACATAATTAATAAGAAGATAGTTCGTGAGAAAACTTGGATTAAAAAAAAACAATGCAAACGTATATTTTAATCTCATACATTTTCTCCTCATTCGACAGTTAAATGGTCGGCTCATACGCGACTAGAATGCGAAGCGAATAGGCCTACGTCACGGGATAGTCGCTGCGAAATTCACCAGTTCAACTTTTGCGAATTCTCTTCGCGAATACTTGTGCAAAGCCGGTTCGTATACTTCATAGGAATACGAATTGATTTTGACGTCATGAAACATTCGCTGCGAAATACGCAACGCGAATTTGTGACGTCGTGTCAAGTATTCGCGCTGCGAATTTGTAAAAGTTGAGCACATTTCAACTCGGGCGAATTTGGCAGCGAACGTTTCATGACGTCAAATTCGCTTCGCATTCGCATGCATGGAGTATGAACCGGGTTTGAGTTGAAATATGTTCAACTTTTACGAATTCGCAGCGCGAATACTTGCTATGACGTCACAAATTCGCTTTCGCTTTCGCGCCCAGAGTGAACCGGGCTTATGACGTCACAAATTCGCGTTCGCTTTCACGCCTAGTATGAACCAGCCTTAACATGGACAGCATACATCGATTTCAATGCACATGCCATAGGGTTTCTATTTGTATGAAGTTTTAACAAAACATAATTAAGTGTCTGGATGTTGCAATTTGGCTAAAGTTGCAATTGAAAACGCCATATTAAGAACTTGTGTAAAATATAATTATTGGCCAAAAAAAATAAGTCTCCGGTTTCTGGTATGGAGCTTGCCCAAAAAGTGGTGCGGCGTCGCGGCTTTTTTTTTTTTTTTTTACCTGATTTTTTTGCCTCAAAATGTCGGCTGATGACTCCAAATGGTGCCCGACTAGACTATGGGAGTCCAGAGAGGCCACATAAAGCTTATTCTCGATCATAACCCCATCTAAAAACACGTTAAAATTGTGCAGTAGCAGGATTCCAGTCAAACCAGTGAGTTTGGCGGTTTTGAGACATCATCTTTCATTGAAAAAAACACTTTTTCGGTTTGCCGACGCGCATGGCTACGGCGACGCGCGCGCATACCAGAAACCGGAGACTTTTTTTTGGCCTTACTCAAAGTATATCGTTTAAACCACGGGAATAAATAGCCAGCCCTTAATGATGGTTTCACTCGCACACGTTTCTCATATCCGTTTCTTCACTATGAAATTCTTGTAAGCCTTCTTTAAAATCTCCCCCATAAAAACTACGTTAACTAGCCACATTATTATCCCGCCGATCTTGAGGAGTACATAGGACAGAGGGTTCATGATGTAGAGGTACAGTAGATACGACCCAAGCCCCATGCGTATTACAATGTAGGACGCCAAGAACAAGAGCTGATTCACCTCGTAGAGGATGTGATCTGCCATGCCGGCATCGCGTAGGAACCAGTGCGCCATCAGCATTGGGTTGGTCAGTTCGGCCAGGAACAGACATAAGGTGACTTCGGCGCCACAAATGCCGGACGTCAATGTCACGCGGGCTCCCACGGCTGCGATTGCATGGTGGGCCCACATCACCTTGGCCTTGCCTTGGTATATACTGTGGATGAGGTCAAAGATGAAATAACCTTGGCATATTGCCAACGTGAAAATCTCGTCGTTCGTAGACGGCTGTCCTGTGGAAAAGAAATAAATGGAAAAGCCACTATTTGGCGAGAAGTGTGTGTGTGATTAATATATCACTCTCACCACCAATAAAGACCTGCCAAACTAACATCACCAGGACCAATATATGGCTCTTCTCGAGTTGATAGATTGTACTTAAAAATGTATGTCCTGCTGAAATTACATTATATAGGGACTTTTTTGTCGCACTATAAGTGACTTTAAAATGGGGGGGGGGACATGTCCCCCTCTGCATTCTGAGAAATTCGGGAAGGCAAACATAAGCTCCAAAATGCATTGAGTGCATGCCTCCCTTCAGAAATTGCGCCCCATTAAGTGCACTTGTAAAAAAGGGCATTATTAACGGGCATTAATTATCTCCCCCCCCCCCCACCCCACTCTGGCCATTAGTTCATGTAGTAGACCACGGCGAATGCCTTGGTCTATTTCGCGTGAACATATTTGCTGATTAATTAGGGAAGACCCCGTCTCTTGCCCTAGAGTTTGACCAGTCAGCGGGCGCTTTCTTTATTGAGTTTTCGGTCATTCACCCGTTGCGTGTCACATGATAAAAACAAGCGTGACACCCGCTCTGTATCATGTGTCGCAAAAATGTGGCCGGTTGTTGTGGTATTACAAAGCGCTGCATTCGAAGTCGACTCCGATTGGCTGGCGCGCGGCTTGCATACATTTGCATGTCAGGAGATGTCAGACGTTATACAGGATTTGGCTCCGTGGATAACGGGTGATACTCAGACGGCCCGGGTGCACCGCAAAAATAAACGCTCTATTGCACGGTCACACCACACCATTGGTGGCTCTGACCAAGCAGATAACGAGGATTTATTCAGATGTTGCATAAACCAAATAGTGAATATTTCACATTCGTGCAATGGAAAGAATAATTTCCGGGTAATCGCAAATGATCCTACATGTCTTAAAAGGGACATCGTGTGATCGTTTGGTCAGGTAACCGAACTGCGAACCTGCTTAATTAATAGTGATTACCTGGAATGCTAAATCGCCAGGTTTCGTTGAACAATTCGCAAGCTGCGCTCATAACGAGCATAGCCAGACAGTGGACCGTCACCACAACCCGGTAACTCCACTCGTAGGACTTGTGAGTAAACGCCAGGCAAAGGATGCCGTAGAGGGCGCTCCATGAGGTGAATGACGTTACTGACAACAGCAAGATGGCAGTTTGGCTGATCTGCATTGTAGATCGGTGGCCTTGGTAAAAAAAAAAAAAAGTATATGAAAAGTTGATTTAAAAATTAAAAATATCCTTTAAGCTCTAAAAGGGTAATAAGTGGTGTGTTTACGTTTGAACTTCGCAGTGGCGTTGCTGGGGGGGGGGGGGGGTAGCTGGGGACAACCCTAACTAATTCCCATGTGCCCACCTGGTGTCCCCCCCCCCCCGCCATAAAAGTGCCTTTATGAAAAAGAGCGCCCTCAGTATAACTGCATCATCATGGAGGCAACCACCTATAGGTTACACTGAGACCAGTAAATACATACAGACCTCAGTAAGAAATACGCCCACTTCCAAAAACAAGGGATAATGCTCAAAACTCTCAAAGGTGTTTGAGACACACATCAAGTGAAGTTAAATTCGTCATCTTCCATTTTCTGTTCAATTTCTTGGAGGTTGACCAATACATTTGGGAGGAAAGATGAAATGGGGACAATTAAAGAAACGAAAGAAACAGAACTGGTTTCTCAAGAACCCTCTTGGCCTACATGTATTTAATTATCAGTAATCTCACCTTCATGAATTCCTGTCCTCTCCTGTGTTTATTCGTTCTCCAAGCACCAGTAGTACGCGCAAGGTTGCCACATAATGCAATCGTCGGTGAATGATTCTAATTGTATTGTATCCAATGTTCTGCGATTTACTTGACTATCAATTAATCCATCAGATTAAATTGTCAAAAAAGCTACCTGACAAACAAAATGATTCGTTATCTCTTGAACTTTGTCTGCGAAGTGCCTTGACATCGCGGTCTGGGGCATTTTTTCTACAAGTAATTCGGCAGGTTGTGGTTTGGAGTCCAGCCTGCAGTGGGGTTATGGTGCGTGTGTCTGTGGGCAAGGCACTTTGTCACTCATATTGCTTCTCCCCACCCAGGAGTAAAATGGGTACCTGTGAGGGCAGAGATGGTTATTGTGATTGGTTTTAGCTGCTTTGCGCCGATCTGGCAGCATCGAGCTTTATATTTCCCATGGAGCTAAGATTGTCTTTGGAATGCTTCATCGGCCAAATGAGCGTGGTATTAAACAAAGATGTATAGCGCCATGAACGTCAATACTGCGTAGGTATACGTGTGCTTTGTAAATGCAAACATTTTGTGGCTGGCATAATAGAAATGAAATTTCAGGCCGACTAGGGAATTAAAGTGGTATTTAAACAAAGAAATGAGACGAAAGAACCCTTTTCAGCCCAAAATAAGTAGAGTGCGTATCAAAATTTTATTTTAAAAAATCATTGCCGTTAGCCCTTCATGTGCATTATACGTAATCATCTAGAAACGCTGAACGCCTGTGAAAAGTGTTAGAGCAATTTATCTCACTGATCGTTGACTTTGTATCCGTTCTCTCGTTGTCAGAACCACACATATGCTAAAAAAAACAATTGCTTTCACATCGTGTGATGTCAAACTTATTTTGCCTCTGTCAGATATGTTGCACAAAAATAGGGCGTAGCTATTTGGGGCGAGTAAATGTTTTTGTGAACCACTCCAATAGCGCCCTCAGTGTCCGCCATGTATCAAAAAGGCTATTCATGCAAACCCTCAAAATGTAATGATTCAAGACTCGTTACGCAAGAGTGGAAGACAGTTAAACTACATCTTAGCACAGCCTACAAAAATATTGAGATAATAAAACCAAGAACTTTCGGAGTTCGACCACTCAGATTGCTCCTGTTTATAGTACCATATAATGCAACAACTTACGTTAATACTCAGCCTTGTGTACACGGTGAAATTATAGCGTGCTGAATGTTAAAAAAAAAGTAAGTATAAGGCCCCCCAAAAAGTCTCCGGTTTCGGGTATGCGCGCGCGTCGCCGTAGCCATGCGCGTCGGCAAAATGAAAAGGTGTTTTTTTTTCAATGTAAGATGATGTCTCAAAACCGCCAAACTCACTGGTTTGACTGGAATCCTGCTGCTGCACAATTTTAACGTGTTTTTAGATTGGTTTATGGTCGAGAATAAGCTTTATGTGACCTCTCTGGACTCCCATATATTTGCACCAAGTTTAGTCGGGCACCATTTGCAGTCATCAGCCGACATTTGAAGCAAAAAATAATCAGGTAAAAAAAAAAAAGCCGCGTCGCCGCACCACTTTTTGAGCAAGCTCCATACCAGAAACCGGAGACTTTTTGGGGGGCCTAAGCGTGCGTCCTGGCTAATTATCGCGAAAATACGTTTAACTTGGTGTACAGAACTTCAGAGATACAAATAATATTGTCTTTTAAGAAGAGTCTATTTCCAACACGCGATCAGCGCCATTTTGATACATTTTGAATCCCGCTCCGTCATGGCTGCCCAAAAGGGCCAAAGTCAGTTCGACGGGTTTTAAGCACAATTCAAGAAGACTATAAAGCCAAAAATAAAATGTAGAAACAACTATTACATCTTTTTTATCCTTTAAAGTTTGATAAACGTGCATTTTTTTTCTTTGTTGAAAATGGATATGTCGCGTTTGGGAAATAAACCAATTCATTTGTATTTCTGATAGCTCTTATGATTGACTTGAAAGTTCAAACCAGACGCTAAGCACTGGAGAAAAAAAAAAGTGAGCGTTGTTTCCGCGAAACAAAAAAACGATTCAATGGTTTTGTTTTGCTGAAAGAACGCACACCTTTGTTTGTGATCAGTGGACAGATCTTTAAAACGGTGGTTTTGTTTAAAACTCAGAAACTTGAAAAGTACAGGAGTGATGTGAATGATTCTTGTACTAAAAGAAAGCTTATTAATTGGGCTTTCATATCCTAGATTTTGAAAGTGCTACATTCAGAACTAAGATAAGAAAAAAATGGTCCTGCCATTTGGGCTTCGTGCGCTACGCGCCGTGAAAACTGAATTTTGCCATATACATCGTGTACACAGAGCAGAATTACCATTCGTACATATGAACAATTAATTAGCCAAAATTCCAAAACCCTTTGACTTAAAGCCATGACATTTCTTGGGCATGTTTTTGATGAGTTGCTCTATGCATGTACCGAGTTTCATTTTTTCCCTTCATTCGATGGCCGAGATCACAAGGGGGGAAAATCCGCCCCCGGCAGCTGAGAGATGGTCAAAATAACCCGGCCCTTTTAGGGTTAAGAGATCTAGAAATTGGGCCCAGGTACGCAGTTTTTATTTCTGCTTAATTGAAAGTCTCAGGCTCACTTTGCCTTATTGTTTTCTATCGTCTTGTCCCTCGACTTCCATCTCCGGTACAACTTCGTGTACTTGTGATAACCAAACACCACTATGTGTCCAAACATAACTATTCCAACAAGGTAGAGGGCCACCCCGCCCACCTTGAAGAAAGGTTTCGGGCGCGGATGCTTGATATGTCTGTAGAGGAAAAAGCTGGCGATCACACACCGACAGAGGGCGAACATTAGCATGAACATCAAATCGTTCAGCTCGTACACCCACCCTTCCTTGATGCCAGAACTGCGCATGAACCAGCGGAACTGGAGCATAGGGTTCGTGAGTTCCGCCAGGAAGATGCAGGTTCCGATTTCGGTGCCCGAGAGGCCGGTTACCAACGAGGCGGCGATACCAATGATGGAGACGAGGTGATGGACTATCATGATCTTGGTTTCGTCGTCGTAGAACCAGACGCACCAGCAGAAGTCGAAGAGGAAGTATCCAAGGCACACTATCATGGTCGTTATCTCGTAAATGTTGGATTTGTTACCTGAAAATCCAGATGGACAAAAACCAAAAAAGAGTCCCAGAAGCGTAATTTTTATTCCTAGGAGGGTTAGGGGCAATGTCATGAATAATTCATGTTTATCCATGAGAACGGACAATGACATCAACAGCATTGTTGTTAGTTACTCAACTATAGTTACAATACATTAAAGCATTTTAAAGAATGGTTGTCGTCGAGCTACCACACAGTAGCCTAGTGGATAGCCAGATGAGCTATGGATACAAAGATCCCTGGTTCGAATCCTCGTCGTCGCTGCTCATTTTCATCAGCTATTTTTCTTCTCCAAATTTATCACTGAGATAATTTTAAATTAAGGGGAAAATAGAACGAAAACCTAAGTCTTGCAATGATTCAAAGGAAAAACTGAATTATTCATGACATTGCCCCTAACCCTCCTAGGAAAAAAAATTACGCGTCCCAGAATGTAATGAGTTTAGCCTTAGGCCTAAGGTACACAGGTCCCATTAGGAATTAAACAATGAATAATATGGAAACGGTCACACCGTTTTTGAATTCGTGTTTTTTCTCTTCCAAATTTTCAATTGTTGGGCCTACTCTTAATTATCAGTAAGGGTGCACTGTAAATGCTATATTTTGACACTTGAGGGCGATGTTGCCATGATGTCTTTTAAACTGAACCACGTGACAGTTTTGGAATTTGTCCACAATGTTATGAACTTGAAAATGTCAACTTTTGTATGCTAAAACAAAAAAAGCTCAAATTTTGCGCAACCAAAAAACTAAATTTCCCGTGTCGCTTATTTCGCATAGTTGGAAACGAAGTTTAAACATTTGTCAAATTTTGCCAATAATGGCCAAGTTCGGGCAAGGACCATTAGTCGACTAGTGGTTGATTTGTGACGTACCTTACGCCTACGCACTGATAGCAACGTGCGAACGTCCCTAGTCAAACGCTGGTCAAAATGTCATCGCAAAACTTCTGGATCCTGGCTCTCTGCTAGCGTTATGAATGCGCGCGGCTATTGGTTACCAGCGAAGCAACCAACCCCAGTAGGCTAGTTCCAAATAGTCGACTAGCGTAGTCAACCATCGGCCAAGTTCGGGCAAGGACCATTAGTCGACCAGTGGTTGATTTATGACGTACCTTACGCCTGTGCACTAATAGCAACGTGCGAACGTCTCTAGTCAAACGCTGGTCAAATTGTCATCGCAAAACTTCTGGATCCTGGCTCTCTGATTGCGTTATGAATGCGCGCGGCAATTGGTTACCAGCGAAGCAACCAACCCCAGGAGGCTGGTTCCAAATAGTCGACTAGCGTAGTCAACCACCGTTGACTAGACAGAGTTTGGGCAAACGTTAGTTAACCATTGGTCAACTATAGTCCTTGCGCGAACTTGGCCATCGTTGACTAGGCAGAGTTCGGGCAAACTTTAGTTAACCATTGGAGTCCTAGCGCGAACTTGGCCCAAGATCTCACACGTTTCCATGATGCACTGTGCGTCGAACAGGATTAGCGCCGCCAACGGCAGCGTTTCTGCATTGTGAGTTAAATTCACTGACGATTATAATTATGTGCACCAACCTGGATGCGTGAACGGCCAAGGATTGTATAGAAACCCAAAGGTCGACGACATGCTAAGCACAGTCACTGCGTGGATCAAGACCACAACCCGACAGTTCCATTCATAAGATCGGTGGGGCTGGAGCCAGCAGAACAGGCCGTAGAGGGCGCTCCAGCACACGAAGGCGGTGACCGTGAGAAGCAGGATGGGTCCCGTGGTTAGCTCCATGGTGACTGTGAATCGATGAAAATAATTTCGTATAAATTGTACTACAATATAGGCCCACTTGGTAGGAAATAATAACACTTCTTCAGCACAGTAATTTAGTACGTGGTTCCCGGTACCGACACGTGTCGTTCTGACCTCTTCATATTTTGGGCGGGAACCTATTATAAATGCGCGGAGTTCATGACAAATTCAACTATCTTCTCTCAAACCGACGCTACTAATGGACTACAGTTCGCCTTGTCATGTCGGCAATTTGGTACCAGTTTATACCAATGTCGGCCGCGTATCGGTTGTGCCCATTAGCGTGCAGGGAGAGACGCATTGTGATGACTAGCCATCATTGAGACTCAGTGGAGACATTCGCATGTTGCTATATACGTAGCAGCCACCAATAGAGGGCGTTTTCTGTTATTTTAATTCAGTAACAATGAATGCACAAACAAATTCACTCATAGGGCCTATGCATATCCCAGCAAAGAAAAAAAAAAGGGCATTGCCGTCTAAGATGCCTGCTATACATGTAAAGGCCTATTATACGCATAAGGTATGTAAGTGCACACGTTGTTATTAGTGCGCAGGCGTAAGTTACGTCATGAATCAACTACAGTCGACCAGTGGTCCCCGACCGAACTTGGTTCATCTTTGAGTGATTTCACATCTTTGGGTGATTTCACATATTTGGGTGATTTCACATCTTTGGGTGATTTCAAATAAGTGCTTCTTTGGAACTCTATATTTATCTGTATTAATCAAAACAAACATGTAATTTGCTGAAACGAAACCTACCAGAACACTTTGATATTGTTCAGTTGCTTGTTGTGTTTTTGATGACTCAAGTGATTGCAAGTAAGTCCTTTCAAAACAATAATTCTAATTTTCAGTATAAATCAAATCTAACACTTCATTTGCTGAAAAGAAACATACCAGAACAGTTTAACAGATACCGTGTTCAGTTGGTTATTATGTTTTTAAGGACTATGTGGGAGATACATGCACGGTCAGCGCCACCACGCCTTTTTGTATGACAATAAATCATTAACCCGAACACAATTATGGCTGTTGTTTGGTTGGTTTGTGTTGGTGCTTCTCTACAGACATCGGTAGACAAAAGGCCATTAAAATATAATTTGACATGCTGTCTGGTTTGTTTTAATTTTGCTGGTACAGCGTTTTTACAGGGCTTTTTACCGTGCCGTAATCACATGTCCTTCATTATAGTCGGTCAACTATGACAAGGGATAATGTATATTAATTTTGTGTTGAGTACATGTTTTAAGATTTGCAGTGTTTCATTCTTTACAATGAGCTATCCAATAGCCTAAGTTAAAATAAAAGGGATCCAAAAACTCATCTGCGAGTGATCAGCTAGTACTATGCTGTTATCATCTGGGCTTCCATATGCATAATCTGTTCTTTATCCGCTGTCTATCTTTGACAAAACTGTATACATGGATAAACCATACCCATGATCATTATGAATATGATGAGTATCATTTTTTTCATAGCCCGTGTACGTGTGTCTGATGCTGCAATAGTTTATAATTTATTTTTACTGTGCTCGAGTGCGTCGGTTGATGTACAAATACAACATGCCATCATTTAACTTGCGTCACGTAGGACCGAAGTCATCAATTAAATTTGTACCTGAAGCTTTTCACGATTTGTTGCAGATTTATTTCCAGGATTATTTATGACAGTACGCGTATACACTGCTCACGTGTGTATTGAATTGTGTATTATGCTCACGTCAAATCCAGTAAATTGACAAAAACTATAAACGAGAGTCGATTCGAAACATATATTATGTAGTTTTCGATAACACTGTCGGTAACTGTACGGGCTTATTGCATGCTTTAAAGAAGGATGCATATAGGCCTATTTATAATACAAAGTTTGACCTCAAAGGTACAGGGGTTGCCGCTATGAAATCCTGTGTTGATTTTACGTTCGTCAGTGCTAGTTTCTTCGCATGTACTATCGGAACCGATCTTCTTTCACAGCCGAGAGATATATTGTTTCGTGCATTGCAACACGGACCATAAATGGTCCGTGATTGCAACAGCTGGGCAGTGCTGTGCATAACACAGACGGCGCTGTAGGCATTTTAATTAATGCGAAATTGTATTGGATGCCCAGAACAACACACATATGGATCTAATACGAATCAAAAGCTATATACATGTATACATCAAAGCCGTGCATAATTAAAATGCAACATTGCTTGCCAGTTGTTTTAGAAGTTCTATAATGTCTCATATATTTACCTGTATAGCCTATGCCTGCATGGATGATGAAGCCGGATTATTACTGTAACTGAAATGGTAAAAAGAAATTGCCATGAATCAAGATGATGATGCCGAGCATAATGATGGAAATTGTATTTTAGAGATTTGAAAATGCATCCAATTACAGATACACTCTCAATAGCATGGTGCACCAAATCGCTTACCTGGCTATATATACGTACGTTGACTCTTGTGCACGCAGTCATCAATTCAATCGAATGAACATAGGCCGGAGCGACGTTTCTCATGATGCAGACGATGGGCCGACAATATTATTAATTACATGGCCGGCAAAGATGGTGAGATCACTGCCGCACGAATGAATCTATATCTGCATAAACCTGTTGATTTCAAATCAGAGATGTCCAGTACGATCGTGCATGCATGGAGGAATTAATAGATCATGCAACTGCGATGTTGAAATATTATAATCACCTGATTTTCAATACTCTACATGTTAGGATACTGCGCGTCATCAGCAACGGACGGACATCATCGTACACACGGCGTATAACCATGATACGGACGTACAGTGCACATGTACGTACACGTACGTTGATCCGGCCTTCTGCATGCAGTGAACAATGCGGGTCAAAGGGGAACATTGATTGTATTTTCACGGCTGTATAATGATTGTCGCAATGAAAAGCTTTTGTTCCGTGTTTTCTCGGATCTTATTGATTTCCATGGTACCGTGTTGGATAGGGTAAGAATAACGGGAGTCATATTCCTTACGATTTTGTGTGTTATTTAAAAAAGAAAATTCACGGAATTTTTTGTTTTAAAAATTTGGGTGTATTTTTTTTTGGGGGGGGGGGGCTGTATCAGTGAGATACTCGGTTTCACTTGCCCATATAAGTCATACGAAGGGCAGTACCATGCTTGATGCTAATTGCTCACACAGAAATCATACGCACAAAAAATATGTTTTCAAACCATGCAAGTACATGATGTCACCGGTCAAAATGTCTCCGACATGACAGTGTACAAAGCAATTATAGGCGGTTTTCAAACCGCGGCTTTTCTAATGGCTGGGATTGGCTTATCCATCATCCTTTAGGAGGGAAACCAGATGGGAATACACTAAACTATTGCCTCATGATACAATATTTGATGCTCCTGGTGCATTGACATGGTGATATATATTAAGCCCGAGGCCCGAAAATCGGGACCTCAAAAAAAGTGAAGCCACAGTCGCAGACGAGGCCGTGTTTTCGAAAACCACATGGAGTGTTGAATCCAAGACAAGATGGCGCTGTTCTAAAGGTTGATTGTACTTTGTCACACTTCCGTATCTTTTAATATCAGATTTTCTATTTGTGTTTCAAGGTCAAAGTGCTGAAATTTCGTGACCACTGCACCGTTCAAATATACATCGTTAATCAGAAAACATGACTCATCGTGCACTTTGCCCGATATAATCTTACTGGTGGTCGAGTGCCTGACCCTAGCGATATATTTCTCATCACATTTACAAAATAAACTACAAGACAAATTTTATGTTAGATGATTGCGCAAACTACCATGATACATACTTCACATTTTTATCTCTGAATTATGCATCGATCATATGTTTTCCCTATTAAATTGTTCAACTTGTGTGCTTCACTTTTTAACAAAAATACTTCTTTTTCTTTTCTTATTTGTGCGTCTGCCTTACCCTCTGAAGAAATATCGTTTTTTTTCGGGCAAAATTTGATCGCGCACACGAACCTGTCTAATCTACCCTACGAAAACTGTGGGTACAAAAACAATTTGAAATTCTATTCCTTAACGTGGGCAGATTTTGTTTGTCCGACATTTCATTCAAAGTGAATAACGTTTGAATTGCAAAAAAAGGGGCAAGTGAAAAAACATCAGTACATTTTTTTTCGCGGTGAAGCTCGAATAGGGCAAGGACAATGTATCTTACATAAAAACAAGATCAGATGAAACCATTTAAAATCCGCCGGATGAAATCATTTTCAAAAAGAAAAGGAACTTTGGGAAAAACAGGGCTTGCAATCAAAAATTTAGGTTTTTTTATTCAAAAATCAATCAAACCTTTAAAAAAAAATAATAATATAAAGACCTCACTAGGAAATATGACTTTGTCACAAGAAGAAAATTATGTTATATTATAATACAAAACAATCACAAAACATTTTATATTTTATTATCCTTTAAGCAGTTGTATAAATGTCAACATTTCAAACTTTTCATTTTTTTTCAGTTTGTCAAATTCATCGATACAATCATTTAGAAAATTACTAGTAAACTACAAGACTTCCACTTCTTATATTCAGCTGTGAGAAAGACATTCACATGTCCTCCATATTACTTGTAACCTTTTGTTAATAACTATGTTGACTCAACTACAATTCTGGAGGCATCACAATTCACGTATATGTTCGGCAAAGAAGAAAAACAATTTAAGGCCACAAAGTCATCTGATTTATCAGTAGTTGAACAGTTGATCATGGCCCGGCGCGCCACACCTCAAAAATAAAAGATCCATTGCACGGTCACACTATTGGCGGCTCTGACCAATCAGATGACGAGGATTTATTCAGGTGTTGTATAAAAAAACAATGAATGTTTCAAATTCGTGCAATGGAAAGAATAATTTCCAGATGCAGATGCAACGTTCCATTCCACTGCTTCGCCTCGTGGAACGGAACATTCCATCTGTCACCCCATGAAATTATTCTTACCATTGCACTCAAAAACATTCGTATAGTACTGCGCATGCCATAGTACTTGGCACAAAAAAATAATGTGGCTTATAAAAGCAGTTTACCAGCAAAAACTCCACGTGATTTTCATGCTTTAGCAAACAACAGCTTAATACTATATACAATGTACAGTGTAATCAAGAGCAACATCACATGGAGTTTTGGCTGGTAAACTGCTTTTAGAAGCCAGACTTGTTTTGTGCTAAGCACATCTTTGTGCTGAGCAGTTTTCGCCGTGAAATTGGCCCCAGGACCGAAGTCGACAGTAACACACGTGTCTATATGGGAAGTGACTTCATATCCGCTTCCATAATGCTTGTCTAATATTGATGGCCATAGCCAATAATCCAAACGCGGCTCTACAAGGCGAGTCAAAAAAACGAAACCCAAATGTTGGGACCATTGTTTTAGTGAAGTTCTGCATGTAGCACTTTCAAAATCTAGCATATGAAAGATCAATTCACAAGCTTTCTTTTAGTACAAGAATCATTCAAATCACTCATGTACTTTTCAAGTTACGGAGTTTTTAACACAACCGCCGTTTTAAGGTTCTGTCCACGGATCACAAAAAGTTCAGTGTTCTTTCAGCAAAACGAAAACAAATCACACAGGATGTGTGTGAATTGTTTTCGTTTTGCTGAAAGAACGCACACCTTTTTTGTGATCCGTGGGCAGAACTTTAAAATGGCGGTCGTGTTTAAAACTCCGTTACTTAAAAAGTACATGAGTGATTAGAACTATTCTTGTACTTAAAGAAAGCTGATGAATTGGGCTTTAATATCCTGGATTTTGAAAGTGCTACATGCAGAACTTCACTAAAACAATAGTCCCGACACCAAGAATCCATGAGGAAAAGCTCTCCATAACTTGATGAAATAGTAAGAACATAGCCGAAAGAAAAACGGCAGTATGCCAAGCAAACTACATCTGGCCGGTTTCACAACCACTCTCGCTTCCGAACCAAGTTGGCTGTAAAATAACGGCCACTTCGAATTCTTCCGTGTAAAACCAAAGTATTTCTTGCAATACATGTGTGCATGCATTAATTAAAGGTAGAGTACATGTACATCACTTGCAGCTATCCAAAAAGTAACTGACGAAATTATTGTAATAACTTAAGGCATACTTTGATTACAGATGGTAATGACACTAAACTCACTGTGAAACAATTGTTTCTGGCATGCTGTCATTTTGAAGAAAACAATAAAAGAAGTTTGCAAAGTTTTGGAAATGTCCGTTAGCACATTTAGTTCGTTTAAATCGGCGAAGCGTGACATCGCGTAGCAGTGCAATTGGCTGAATGAGAACGTGTCCCGCCCGGGCGTCGATTTCGGGCGCAATTCAAAACCTGACTAGGCAACTTTTGATTTGAAATCGAGATTCTACAATTTTGTTTTCTCGGAACATACAGCACTCGCTGATGTAAAACTTCATCAGGTTAGTTGTTCAGCACCCGTCTTTAGGTTTCAAACACTTTTGCTGCTTCAAACAAACATAATGCACAAACGACAAAATTATGTACTCTACCTTCAAATAGCGGCATCGTTTTGGTTTCATATAGAGATTATCACTAGGAACCACAAACCGATACAACCTTCAATATGCAAAAACTCTTAAACATTTCAGACCATTTATGTCACGCTACAAACATACACACGCGTATAAAGATAGCAGTACTGTTCATTCAATATTTAAAGATACATAAATTCAGTGATGTAGTACATGAGGTCCTCAGAAAGCAGTACTGGCGTAGATGGTGGGGGGTGGGTGTGGCAGAGTGGCATGTTGCAACGGGGTGGATATTTTACAATCAAAATCGGGAAGCTGATAAAAGCAAAGTCAGAAAGCTGAAAACGGGTTAAATGGGACGAAAATTCTATTTTGCAGCAGGCAAACCAAAACCCTGACTACCCGCACCCGTCTCAAATGTCCCTCACAAGTCACCCAGACCCAAGTTAAGTCACAAGCTACATGCATTCAAAATGGTTTGTGACAAAGGTACTTTTTGTCAATGTTCATCATCTGTTACTTGTCACAGTGACTAGTACTAGTAGAGGTATGTAGGCACATGAGTTACTGGCGACTGGAACTGTGATGGACTTCGCTACAACACTGCATGAATTTTATATTTCCATTTTCATGGCCAAATTCTGCTAAATGCAATTCAAAAATCTGTCAGATTCATCAAAAATCTGCCAAATTCCCCAGAAGTACTGCAAATACACTATAAACACTTAAAATCACATGTAGATGGTGTAGTACTGCCTTCATTAAGGTTCCAATTACTTTATAAACAATCTAC